CCTAGTACCCTTAGGAGAAAACCCAAATTCCTTGATTAAGAGACCCTGAATAGTCTAACCTCAGGCAGCATCTCCAGATTCCACCCCTTCTGCAACCTCCACACACCATCCACCCTTCCTGTCTGTCCTTTCCAAGCCATCTTGCAGCGCTAAGTCCTGCAAGGCTATACTCTGGCTCCCCTCCTGGAAGCACAAGCTATTCCACTCCCAAAGCTCTTGTTAGTCTAAGCTCCATCTCTCCCACTGGCCCTAAGCACAACAATCACCCTAAAGGGTAGATATTAGCATTATCTCCATTTTACAGATGAAGTCACAGACTTGCAGCGGTCAACACATTGGACCAAGGTCACAGCAACATAAGAAGGTGACAGAGCCAGGATCAGGGATCCCAGCTAATTCCTGTGTCCTTATTTCCCACTTTTTTTTTTTTTTTTGAGATGGAGTCTCACTTTGTCGCCAGGCTGCAGTGCAGTGGTGTGATGTCAGCTCACAGCAACCTCCGCCTCCTGGGTTCAAGATTCTCCTGCCTCAGCCTACCGAGTAGCTGGGACTACAGGCACACGCCACCACGCCTGGCTAATTTTTGTATTTTTAGTAGAGATGAGGTTTCACCAGGTTGGACAGGATGGTCTTGATCTCTTGACCTTGTGATCCTCCCTCCTCAGCCTCCCAAAGTGCTGGGATTATAGGCGTGAGCCACCGCACCCAGCCCCCTTACTTCCCACTCTACTGCCTCTGTATGTGCCAGAGCCTATCTTGGTGGGCTAGTAAATTTTTCTTTCGTTTCGTTGGGTTTATTTTGCTTGTTTTTGGGTTGGGGGAAAAGGAGGCTGCCATAAAGGATTTGAATTCTGGCTTTGACCAGCTAAATCCTTTCCTGACTCTGTGACTTTGGGCAAGTGATCACCTCTTCTGAGCCTCAGTTTCAACCTCTATAAAGTGGGGATAATAATTATGCCCATGATATAGGATTAGAGAGTTTGATAACATGAGTACAGCATTTCCAAGAGAGCCTGACACGGAACAGTACTTTTATATTCACTCCATTACAAATACTCAAAGTGGGCTGGGCACAGTGGCTCACGTCTATAATTGCAGCACTTTGGGAAGCCGAGGTAGGCAGAATCACTTGAGGTCAGGAGTTCAAGACCAGCCTGGCCAACATGGCAAAACCCCGTCTCTACCAAAAACACAAAATATTAGCCGGGCATGATGGTGTGTGCCTAAAGTCCCACTTACTAGGGAGGTTAAAGCAGGAGAATTGCTTGAACCCGGGAGGCAGAGGTTGCAGTGAGCCGAGATCGTGCCACTGCACTCCAGCCTGGGCTACAGAGTGAGACTCCATCTCAAAAACAACAAACAAACAAACCGAACAAATACTCAGAGTCAGGCAGAGTACCTAGTGCTGTGATGGGACTTCCAAAGGGGGTTTTAGGGGGACTTTATTCCAATTGGGGCAGGAAGGGAAGGCTTCCTGGAGTAGCTGGTACCTGAACCAGGATGTGAAATACAAGTAGGAGATAACCAAGTGAGGGGAGAGGGGAAGGGAGAGAGGCATTTAAGGCAGAAGGAACAGGACGTGCAAAGGCTTGAGAGTGGTTTTCTTCCTTAAAGAAATTCCTATGTGCAATCCTGTGGTGGGGGGGGCAGGGTATGAAAGTGACGTACATGACAACAGACACATCCACCTGCACATGAATCTAGGGACACACACATGTTCACTTAACTATGGGGAATCACATCACACAGACACATATTGGTACCCAGAATTTCAGCATCAAAGAGTCTCACATATGTATAGAGAATCACATCATACAGACATATGCAGATACAAAAAAAAAAAAAAAAATCACAGCACCTTCCACACTCAGAAGAAGAGAAACCCAAAGTAACCAGAAACACATATAAGGCAGAATCATTTCACCCAGATACTAATATGCATGTGTAGAAGGAATCACAACCCCCTGCAACACAGGTTCATGGAATGTCGTAGAGACCCACACACATACACAGAATGACAATGTGGGTACACAAGTGCATACACACACACACACACACACACACACACACACATACACACACAGAATCAGAAAGTAGCATGGGGCTGGCGTGGTGGCTCAAGCCTATAATCCTAGAACTTTGGGAGGCTGAGGCAGGAGGATCACTTGAGCCCAGGAGTTTGAGACCAGTATGGGCAACATGGCAAGGTTCCATCTCTACAAAAAATGAAAATAATTAGCTGGAGCTGGTGGCATGGGCCTGTAGTCCCAGCTACTGGGAAGTATGAGATGGGAGGACTGCTTGACCCCAGGAGGCTGCAGAGAGCTGTGATTGTACCACTGCACTCCAGCAGTGAGACCCTGTCTCCAAAGAAAGAAAGAAAGAAAGAAAAAAAAAAAAGGAAAGAAAGAAAGGGCTGGACACAATGGCTTATGCCTGCAATCCCAGTATTTTGGGAGGCTGAGACAGGCAGATCACCTGAAGTCAGGAGTTCAAGACCAGCCTGACCAACAGTGGTGAAACCTGTCTCTACCAAAAATACAAAAATTAGCTGGGAATAGTGGCACATGTCTGTAATTCCAGCTACTCAGAAGGCTGAGGCAAGAGAATCGCTTGAACCTGGGTGGCAGAGGTTGCAGTGAGCTGAGATTGTGCCACTGCACTCCAGCCTGGGCAACAGAGGGAGACTTCCATCTCAAAAAGAAAAAGAAAGAAAGAGAGTAACATGTATACCCAGCCACTCAGTGTACCCACACTCCCAGAGGAGATCCAAAAGATGAGTCAATACACAGAGCTCTGGTGCCTACCAAGGTGAGGTCTTTTTGGTGGTATAGAGACTGGTGAATTTTAGAGCCAGTGTGGCTGGTCCAGTCCCTAGCCCAGCACAATTCCCTCCATTTAGGGCCCACATCACCTCCTGTGGGAGGGAGGGAGGGGTGAGACTCCCCCTGCATAGCACCAATCTGGACAGGCCACCCCCTCACAAAACAGAGCAAGCAGTGCCTTTCAAAAAGGGGGTAAATGGGGCTAAGGGGGGAGACCAAGAACAGCACCATTTGTGGAAAGAAAGCTGTGGGGTAAGGGAAGCACATAGATGGTGGCAGAGAGCTGAGGGGTCCTGGCCTCTCTCCCCAACCCGAAATATGCAGACAGCGCTGTGCCTGCATGTGTACCTGTGTAGCTGGAGACATCTTTGGATTGCAAGCCCCACAAAGGGTGAGGGAGCCCCAAGTGCCCCAAACATCTGGGGTAAAGTCAAGGTAAGCGCATGTCTGGCGGGCTGAGGTGGGAAGTGGAGGGGGTTCTAGGACACAGAAATTGTAGGCAAGGAGAATGGAGAGGCGTGAAGTCCAGGAGCAGCACTGCCTAGAGGGTAGGGGCCTGGAATGGGAAGACTTAAGACCGAAGGTTGAAACGAGTAAGCTCAGTGGGGTGGGAAGCTCAGAATATATTTAGGAGGGTGGGATCTGGAATTAGGGAGTTGTGGTTTTAAGATTCAGAACCAGGGGAATCTATAGGGCAAAGTCTAGACTCCAGAATCAGAAGCATTTGGAGGCTGAATTAATAGAACCAGAGGAATTTGGATCTGAAATCAAAGGCAGTTGGAAGCTGTGAGGCTTAAAAGCAGAGGAATTTATAGAATAAGGACTAGAATTAGAAAAAGCCTGGCTGTGCTCAGTGGTTCATGCCTGTAGTCCCAGCACTTTGGTGAGGCCAAGGAGGGAGAACTGCTTGAGCTCAGGAGTTCGAGACCAGCCTGGGCAACATGGTGAAACCCCGTCTCTATTTTTTTTTTAAATAAATAAATAAATAAATAAATAAAGCCTGAAGTCTGAGTTCTAGAATCAGAGAGATTCAGAAGCCGTAAGATCTAGAATTAGGAGTTGAGGGTTGTAATATCTAAAACCAGGGAAATGTATAAGGCAAAGTCTGCTTTTAGAAGATATTGAAGGCTGAATTCTAGACCCTGGGTAATTTGGAGTCAGATCTTGAGTAAAGAGGAGTCTAGAAATTATGAAGTTTAGAGCCAAGGGAAATTACGTGATGAAGTCTAAAGTCAGAAGACACTTGTAAGTCAGTTCTAGAACCAGAGAAAATAGCAGATCACCAGGTGCTGAATCAGGACCCCGGAGGCAGCAAGGTCTAGAAGTTGTGCAGTCCAGAACTAGTGAGTGGAGCAGGTCATGAGGTTCAGAATCTAGGAGAACTAGAGCGTGATCTGGTTCCAGAACTGGTTATTACAAGATCAAGACAGGGCCAGGTGCAGTGGCTCAAGCCTGTAATCCCAGCACTTTGGGAGGCCAAGGCAGGTGGATCACTTGCAGTCAGGAGTTCAAGACCAGCCTGGACAACAAGTGAAATCCTGTCTCGACTAAAAATACAAAAATTAGTTAGGTGTGGTGGTATGCATCTGTAGTCCTGGCTATTTGGGAGGCTGAGGCAGGAGAATTACTTGAACCCAGGAGGCGAAGGCTGCAGTGAGCTGAAATCACACCACTGTACTCCAGCCTAGGTGACAGAGCAAGATTCCGTCTCAAAAAAAAAAAGGAAGAAGAAGGAGGAAGAGGAAGAGGAGGAGGAGGAGGACGAGGACAAGGACGAGGGGGAGAGGTCTAAATCAAACCATGCTGAAGGTTGTGTGGTCTAGAACCAGTGTAGGTCAGAGGTTGTAGAGTCCGGAATGGGAGCACGTTGCAGGTTGCATAGTTTAGAAGCAGAGGAAGTGGGAGAACCACAAATGAAGTCAGTGTCCAGGCAAAGCTGGGGGCAGCAGGAAGCCCAGAACGGAAGGGGCAGGCAGAGCTGATGGGCAGTATGGGGGGCTTTGGCCTCTATGGGAAGTTGCTGGGGGTAAGGTCTGGCCCAGAGCCTCCCCCTACTGACACCTGAGGAGGGGGGAAATATCAGAGTCCCACATTCTTACAGACCCCAGGCAATTCATTGTGATTAAAAACCATATTATGAAATAGACAAAAATAAAAATAATAATACAAGAAGGATAGAAGGAAACGTGATCACGGTCACCTGTGGATCATCATTCTCTCCAGAACCCGGAAACACAGACCCGACCCCCTCACCCTCCCCACCCCTAATTCCCCAAAATAAGCCAAGAGAGGCAGAGAAAGGGATAATGAGGTAACCAAGTATTGAGAACCCCAAATGAAATCCTGAGAGGAGGAGGAGGGGGCAGGGACCCCCTCCCAGAGGTCACTGAGCTGAGACCACCCCAAAGAGTCCCCAGATTGGGAGCAGGCAGAGGGGTGAAGGCTGAGGTAGGCCCGAGGTGGGCAAGGGGACACTTAGAGGAGAGGGGGGCCCTCTCCCGGCGCCCCCATCCTGTGCGTCGGCTGCTGGCTTGGAGTGTGGTTGAGGTCCTTTCTAGGGGAGGAGAAGGGAGACAGGGAGAGGAGCTGGCTCAGTCAGCCTGGCCCAAGCCTGCTGCTGGCTGGAAGTGGCCCTGGGGCTGGTCGGTGGCCCCGTCTGAGTACGGAGAGAGCAGTGAGGGACCCAGGCCTGCAAAGATGAAAGAGAAATGACAAATGAAAAGATGAAAGATAAATCAGTGGACAACCATAACCCCAACCCATCTTCCCTTCCTGGGAGTTAAAAGCCTGGGTGGCGAGGCAGGCCTGCCTGGATTCAAACAGTAGTGACATCTTGGGCATGTTCCACTCTCTGAACCTCTCCGGGATGTTCAGGGCTGCCGTGAAGAACCTGAGTCCAGAGCCAGATGCTCCCTAGCTGGAATCTAGGCATTGCTATTTATTTTCTGTGTGACCTGGGGCAGGTGACTTCACCTCTCCGTGCCTCAGTTTCCTCATCTGTAAGATGGGCTAATTACAGCACGTCCCTCTCAGGGCTGTAAAGAAGAATCGAGTAAATCCATGGAAGGTGCTCTGAACCATAACTAGTACTGGTGAGAGTACAGTTAAGTCAGCTGTTGTTACTTGGGAAACCAGGATACTCACACCTACTTCATTTATGAGAATTTACTCATTCAAAACATATTTGCTGTTGGGCACAGTGGTTCATGCCAATAATCCCAGCACTTTGGGAGGCTGAGGTGGGTGGACTGCTTGAACTCAGGAGTTCAAGACCAGCCTGGGAAACATGGCAAAAGCTCATCTCTACAAAACATACAAAAATTAGTCAGGCGTGATGGCACATGCCTGTAGTCCCAGCTACTTGTGGGGGCTGAAGTAGGAGGATCGCTTGAGCCCAGGAGGTTGAGGCTGCAGTGAACTGTGTTTGTGCCACTGCACTCCAGCCTGGGTGGCAAAGTGAGAACCTGCCTCAAAAACAACAAAAAACCCCAACACATTTACTGAGCATCTACTTTGTGTCAGGCACTGTGCCAGGTGCTGGCGACACGGCAGTGAACAGGATGGATGACACTCCCTGCCCCTGCCCTTGTGGGACGGACATTCCAGTGAGAAGCGCCAACTGGGTCAGGTACAGGAAGCTAGGCACAGTGCGAGTGCTTGGATCTTAGCTCCTCATTCACAAATATGTGTGGAGAGCCCCCTCTGTGCTCGGCCACCACCCACCCACGTGCACAAAGAAGAATACAGCAGGGACCAAGATAGCCCCGGCCCCGGCCATCGAAGGTCTCATATCCAAAGGAGAAGACAGACAGCAATTAAATGACCCAGAGGCCTGCGTAATTATATTATGGAGTGTTATAAGCCATGAGCATATGAAGTGAGGGAGGGCTTTGTGGAAGGAGTCATATTTGATCTGAGAGCTAAAGGATGTGGTAACATGGCACAGAACAGAGGGAAAAGTATTCCAGGCAGAAGGAGCAGGATATGCAAAGGCCCTGAGGCAGCCTCCTCCATTGTGACGACTTTAAAGCCATCACAATGTCCCACAGAGGCTCCATGCAGTCAACCCTCACCTTTCTCTCCTCTCTGCTTCAGCTACATTGGTCTTGCTTTTCCCCAAATAAGACAGATACAGCCAGGCACAATCCCAGCACTTTGGGAGGCTTAGGCAGGAGGATCACTTGAGCCTAGGAGTTTGAGACCAGCCTACCCAACCTAACAAGACCTCTTTCTCTACAGAAATTAAAAAATTACCCAGATGCGATGAAGTGCACTTGTAGTCCCAGCTACACGGGAGACTGAGATGGGAGGATCACTTGAGCCCAGGAGTTCAAGGCTGAAGTGAGCTGTGATTGCACCACTGTGCTCCAGTCTGGGCAACAGAGCAAGATACAGTTCCCTCACTCCCAAAAAGGCAGATACAGTCCCCGCCTAAGGGCCTTTGGACTTGCCATTCCCTTTGCCTGGGACACTCTTCCCCTGATATCAGGGCTCACTCCAGGTCTTTGCTCAACTATCACCTTCTCAATGAAACCACCCTGATCATACTTCTTTTTTTTTTTTTTTTTCTGAGACAGAGTCTTGCTCTGTCACCCAGTCTGGAGTGCAATGGCGCGATCTTGGCTCACTGCAACCTCTGTCTCCTGGGATCAAGCAATTCTCCTGTCTTAGCCTCCCGAGTCGCTGGGATTACAGGCGCCCACCATTGCACCTGGCTAATTTTTGTATTTTTGTACAGACAGGGTTTCACCATCTTGGCCAGGCTGCTCTTGAACTCCTGACCTTGTTATTCACCCACCTCAGCCTCCCAAAGTGCTGGGATTACAGGCGTGAGCCACTGCGCCTGCCAATTTTTGTATTTTTAGTAGAGATGGGGTTTCGCCATGTTGGCCAGGCTGGTTTTGAACTCCTGACCTCAAATGATCCGCCTGACTCAGCCTCCCAAAGTGGTGGGATTACAGGCATGAGTCACCACACCTGGCCTGTTTATTCGTTTAAATAGAGACAGGGGCCTGAGTGGTGGCTCATGCCTGTAAGCACTTTGGAAGATCAAGGTGAGTGGACTGCTTGAGCTCAGGAGTTCGAGACCAGCCTGAGCAACGTGGTGAAACCCTATCTCTATTAAAAATACAAAAACAAACAAACAAAAAGATAGTCAAGCGTGCTGATGCCCACCTGTGGTCCCAGCTACTCAGGAAGCTGAGGTGGGAGAATCGCTTGAGCCAAGAGACACAAAGGTTGCAGTGAGCTGAGAATGACAGAGCAAGAACCTGTCTCAAAAAAAAAAAAAAGAAAGAGAAAGAGAAAGAAAATGAAAATGTGAAAATAAATAAATAGAGACAAGGTCTTGCTCTGTCACCCAGGTTGGAGTACAGTGGTGCAGTCACAGTTCACTGTAGCCTCGAACTCCTGGCCTTAAGCAATCCTCCCATCTCAACCTCCCAAGAAACTAGGACAACAGGTGCATGCCACCACACCCACCTGGTTTTTAAAAATTTTTGGTAAAGACCGAGTCTCGCCATGTTTTCCAGGCTGGTCTCAAACTCCTGATTTCAAGTGATCCTCCCCTCCATCACCTCCCAAGGCATTGTGATTACAGGAATGAACCACTTGCCCAGCTCTCTTGGACTGTTTTTTTTTTTGAGACAGGGTCTCACTCTGTTGCCCAGGCTGGAGTGCAGTGGCACCATCATAGCTCACTGCAGTCTTGAACTCCTAGGCTCAAGTGATCCTCCGAATTTAGCCTCCAGAGTAGCTAGGACTAAAGGCATGCACCACCATGCCCAGCCAATTCAAAAAAAGAAAAAAACTTAGGCCAGGTGCGGTGGCTCATACCTGTAATCTCATCACTTCGGGAGGCCAAGGTGGGTCAATCGCCTGAGGTCAGGAGTTTAAGACCAGTCTGGCCAACATGGCAAAACCCCATCTCTACTAAAAATACAAAAATTAGCCAGGTGTGGTAGCATGTGCCTACTCGGGAGGCTGAGGCAGGAGAATAGCTTGAACTCAGGGGAAGGTTGCATTGAGCTGAGATTGCGCCAGTGCACTCCAGCTTGTGTGACAGGGCATGACTCCATCTCAAAAAAAAAAAAAAGTTTTTTTTTAAGTAGAGACAAGGTCTTGCTATACTGCCCAGGCTGGTCTCAAGCTTCTAGCCTCAAGCGATCCTCCCACTTTTGACTCCCAAAAGTGCTGGGATTACAGGCATGAGCCACCGTGCCCAGCCTCCCTCTTACACTCTTTCTCATATTTCTTTCTTTCTTTCTTTCTTTTTTTTTTTTTTTTTTTGAGACATTGTTTCATTCTTGTTGTCCAGGCTGCAGTGCAATGGTGCGATCTTGGCTCACTGCAACCTTCACCTCCCGGTTCAAGCAATTCTCCTGCCTCAGCCTCCCAGATAGCTGGGCTTACAGGCACGCGCCACCATGCACAGCTAATTTTGTATTTTTCGTAGAGACGGGGTTTCTCATGTTGGTCAGGCTGGTCTCAAACTCTCAATCTCAGGTGATCCACCGACCTCAGCCTCCCAAAGTGCTGGGATTACAGGTGTGAGGCACTGTGCCTGGCTCTTATACTGGTTTCTTTGTTACGGTCTGTCTCCTGCACTAGAATGTCAGCTACACAAGGGCAGAGATTTCTATGCATTTTGTTCACAACATGTCCCCAGCCCTTATAACTATGCCTGGTGCTTACTGCATGCTCTCTAAATATTTGTAAACACATGAAGGAAATAATAAACTGAAAGACAGTGACTATGGCTGAAACAGAGCACAGTGTGGTCCAAGATGTAGCAGAGACCAGACCCTGCAGGGATCTAAGTTCAAGTGAGGAGCTTGATCTTTCTTTGAAGGGCACTAGGGAGCCATGGAAGGGCTTTGAGCAGAGGAGGGCCAGGGCTCAGATTCAGGCTCTGAAAAGATTCCTCTGGCTGATACATGGAGGTTTCAAGTGAAGCAATGGCTTTTGAGAGTTGCACTATAAAATGATAGCTTGTCTCATGTTCTGTGCAGGGGCTGTGGGAAACACCATCACCACGATAGCAGACATTTCCGTTAAAACTTTTTGTTTACATCTAAAAACACTTTTAGGTTGGGTGCAGTGGCTCACACTTGTAATCCTAGCGCTTTAGGAGGCTGAGGCAGGCAGATCACCTGAGGTCAGGAGCTCGAGACCAGCCTGGCCAACATGGCGAAATCCTGTCTCTACTAAAAGTACAAAAATTAGCCGGGCGTGGTGGTGCACACCTATGATCCCAACTACCTGAGAGGCTGAGGCAGGAGAATCACTGGAACCCAGGAGGTGGAAGTTGCTGTGAGCTGAAATTGTACCACTGCATTCCGGCCTGGGCGACAGAGCAAGCCTTTGTCTCAAAAATAAATAAATAAATAAATAATAATAAAGTGTGATCATGGGCATGTAGGCTCCAGAGATCTAGTCTCGGGCCGGGGCTTGGCTTCCACCCCAAAGGGCAGCCTTAGAGAGCCCCTGCCTCCCTTAGGGTCTCTCTTACCCCTTCCTCCACAGTGCCCATGAGAAGAGAGAAGAGACAGGAGCTGCCATTTCCACCAAGGTCATCTCCAAGCACTGATAGTCCCCCAGTACCTTTGGAATGGCCCCAGCCCTCTTATACCCCCCAGGGGAGAGGGTGCTACTCACCCAGGGGCTCATTCAGGTCCAGGAGAGGGGGGCTGGGGTCCTGCAGGCTCCCTGGGGCTGGTCCTCCTGTCAGAAGGACACTCTGTGGGAGAGAGAGACAAAACCACCACCACCATCATTATCATCATCAGTATCCACGCCACAGCTGGGCAGTGGTGGCTGTGATCCCAGCACTTTGGGAGGCTGAGGTGGGAGGATCGCTTAAGCCCAGAAGTTTGAGACCAGCCTGGGCAAGACAGTGAGATCTCATCTTTGCCAACAATTTAAAAATTAGCTGGGTGTGGTGGCACGTGCCTGTAGTCCCAGTTACTTAGGAGGCTGAGGTGAGAGGATTCCGTGAGACCAGGAGTTTGAGGTTACAGTGAGCTATGATAGTGTCATTGCATTCCAGTCCGGGTGACAGAGACCCTATCTCTAAAAAAAAAAAAAAATAACAAAAATAAAATAAAATAAAAAATAAGGCCAAGCATAGTGGCTCATGCCTGTAATTCTAGTGCTTTGGGAGGCCAAGGTGGGAGGATCACTTGAGGTCAGGAGTCTGAAATCAGCCTGGGCAACATAATGAGACCCTATCTCTACAAAAAAAAATTAAAAATGAAAGAAGCCGGGCACAGTGGCTCATGCCTGTAATCCCAGCACTTTGGGAGGCTGAGGTGGGCAGATCATTGGAGGTCAGTTGTTCAAGACCAGCCTGGCCAACATGGTGAAACCCCATCTCTACTAAAAATACAAAAATTAGCAGGGTTTGATGGTGCATGCTGTAATCCCAGCTACTTGGGAGGCTGAGGCAGGGGAATTGCTTCAACCTGGGAGGAGGACGTTGTAGTGAGCCAAGATCATGTCACTGCACTCCAGCCTGGATGACAGAGTGAGACTCCATTGAAAGAAAGGGGGAGAGAGGAGAGGGGAGAGGGGAGAGGGGAGAGGGGAGGAGGAGGAGAGAGGAGAGGGGGGAGGGGAGAAGGGAGGGGGAGGGGGAGAGGGGAGAGGGGAGGAAAGGGGAGAAGGAAGAGGGGAGAGGGGAGAGGGGAGAAAAAAGAGAGAAGAGAAGAAGAGAGAAGAGAGAAAGAAGAAAGAAAAGTGAGAGAAAGAAAAGAAAGGGAGGGAAGGAGAGAGGGAGTGAGGGACAGAAGGAAAGAAGGGAAGAAGGGAGGAAGGCAGGGAGGGAGGAGGGGAGGAAGGGAGGAAGGAGGGAGGGAGGGAGGAAGGGAGGAAGGAGGGAGGGAGGGAGGAAGGGAGGAAGGAGGGAGGGAGGGAGGGAGGAAGGGAGGAAGGAGGGAGGGAGGGAGGGAGGGAGAGAGGGAGGAGGGGAGGAAGGGAGGAAGGAGGGAGGGAGGGAGGGAGGAAGGGAGGAAGGGAGGGAAGGAAGGAAGATCCAGAGACAAGATGGTGCAGTGGTTAAGGGCTGCTGAGGTCCAGTGGCCACCTGTCAGGGGTGTGCCTTTGGGTCAGTCCCTGTCCAGTCATCCTACCTGTGTTCCTCCAGAGCCTCGTTCCCCCTTCTCCTTCTTCCTCCCTGCCCAAGGACCTGTGCACAGGGACTGTAACAGCCTGCAACTTTGCTCCATGCGTTCCTGTTGGTAAGCTCACAGGAGATACCAGCAGGTGGGGTATTTATGCTTCTCTGTGAGTTGGTGCTGTCCCTCCATGGAAGGTTTCAGCACGAATTAGCTGGACGCCACCTGCTGCAGGATCCGGTGACCTTCAGGCCAGGGCTGGTGCCCACTGCCCATGCGTGCCCCAGGGTACTGTACCAGCCTTGTTGATTTCCCTGCACTGTGTTAACACCTTTTCCAACAGTCCTGTTACTAAATTCTCCTCAACACTCCATCTGACTGTGCTACCTTTCCTGCGCAGACTCTGATAGTTGTTTAACTTCTTCTGTGTAAATGTGTATAATAGGAACAAGAATATTTCAATAGCTGTTGTGAGGATTAAATACGTTAATCATGCAAGGAATTTAGTGCAGTCAGTGTCTGGAACATGTTAGGCACTTAATAAGTGTAAGCTGTTATATGTGTATATACACATATAATACATAACATGCATATAACACATACCATGGGATACAACATATACGTACATATATACACACGTACACACACAAATATATATTTAGATATATTTTTTGTATATATAAATTAAAAATATATATTAAAATATATATTTAAATATAAAATTATATATAATATATAATATATATTTATATTTACATATGAAATAGATATATATTTTATATGTGTGTGCGTGTGTACGTGTGTATATATGTGTGTATATATCTGAGACAGAATGTTACTCTGTCATCCAGGCTGGAATGCAATGGCACGATCTTAGCTCACTATAACCTCTGCCTCCCAGGTTCAAGCAATTCTTGTGCCTCAGTCTCCCGAGTAGCTGGGACTACAGGTGTACGCCCCCACTCCTGGCTAATGTGTGTATTTTTAGTAGAGACAGGGTTTCACCATGTTGGCCAGGCTGGTCTTGAACTCCTGACCCCGTGATCCTCCCACCTCGTCCTCCCAAAGTGCTGGGATTACAGGTGTGAGGCATCGCATCTGGCCTGTAAACTGTTATATTATCAACCACATCTCATATTCAAACATTTGCAGAGCAAAGAACCAAGGCACTGCTGTAAGCACTAGGGAGCCATGAAAGGTCCTAGAGGGAGGCCTTGTAGAAGTGACATAGTCCGGGCTGGCTTTTTTGTCTTTAATTTTTTGAGACAGGGTCTTGTGCTGTCATCCAGGCTGGAGTGCAGTGGCACGATCACAGGCTCACTACAGTCTTGACCTTCCAGGCTCAGTGAGCCTCTCGCTGCAGCCTCCTGAGTAGCAGAACTACAGGCACATGCCACCACACCTGGTTAACTTTTTAATTTTAATTTATTTTGTAGAGACGGCATCTCACTATGTTGCCCAGGCTGGTCTCGAACTCCTGGGCTCAAGTGATCTGCCTGCCTTGGCTTCCCTAGTGCTGGGATTACAGGTGGGAACAAATGCACCTTGCCCAGGCTTTTAAAAAGGGTACTGTGGTTGCTGTCGTGCAGAATGAATAGCTGGGGAGAGATAGGAGGAGGGACACTGTGGGGAGGCTGCTTTTGTTTGGTTTGTTTGTGTTTTTGAGACGGAGTTTTGTTCTTTGTTGCTCGGGCTGGAGTGCAGTGGCACAGGCTGGGCTCAAGCGATTCTCATGGCTTAGCCTCCCAAGTAGCTGGGATTACAGGTGCCCACCACAACACCCAGCTAATTTTTGTATTTTTAGTAGAGACGGGGTTTCATCATGTTGGCCAGGCTGGTCTTGATCTCCTGACCTCAGGTGATCTGCCCACCTTGGCCTCCCAAAGTGCTGGGATTATAGACGTGAGCCACCGCGCCCGGCCATTTGGTTTGTTCTTGTACACCACACTGAGTGTCAGCTAAGAGCCTCATTTCCTTTAATTCTCATTAATCCCTGAGATATAACTATTCCCACTTTCTGGATGAGGAAACTGAGGCTCCGTGTGGTGATATCACCTGCCCAAGGTCTCACAGTTAATGGGTGGCAGACCTGGGACTTGAACGCAGGTCAGTCTGATTCTAGTGTCTGTAATTCGAACCCTGCACTAGTAATCCAAAGCCAAGACCTGTTCTAGTTTTGGGAGGGGGTCCCATGGGAACAGATAGAAGATTCCTGCAGATGCCAACCACATGCCATGTCTCCCCTTATCCTGTTTAATTTTCCTTCTTTGCATTTACTGCGAATATATATATATATATTTGAGACAAGGTCTCACTCTGTTGCCCCAGCTGGAGTGCAGTGGCACGATTTCAGCTCACCATAGAGCTTTTTAGTACCCATTAGTGAAACCAGAAGATCAGGCCGCAGCCTCAGCTGGCCCACTGATCTTCTGTATGACTCCCAACCAGCCTGTGCCCCTCTCTGGTTTCCTATTTATAAAACAGGAGCTTTAAGCCAGCTAGCTAATGAGGGCCAGAGAATCCCACTAATCCCCCAACGCACCAGGCTGAGGGGAAACAGCAGAAAGTTTCCGGGTTCTGGGCTGGGGCATCTTTTGGGAGGTCTCACTCCCAGCAGCTCCATTCCCTCGTCCTCGCCTTCTGAGCTCTGGGCCAGCGTCCTGGAGGAAAACAGGCAAGAATCTCAGGACACAGCAAACCTGGGCAAGTGTGGGTCACAGTGTAAGCAGGTGATGAGCATTTATTCACTCCCTTGAGCATCTATTATTCCTTTACTCATACACCCACCAGTCCATCCATCCATCCACCAATCATTCTTCTCATTTATCCAATAATCCATCCCTCAGCTTCCATCCATCTATCCTTCCATTCATCCACCTATTTATCCACCTAGTTGTCCTCCATCTATCCATCCATCCTTCCATACACCCAGCCATCCACCATCCACCATCCACCATCCACCATCCAACCATCCATCTATCTGCTGTCCATCCACCAACCATCTCCCATCCATCCATCCATCCACTGTCCATCCATCATCCATCTCCCATCCGTCCATCATTTATCAATCTACCATCTATCCATTCATCCATCTATCCATCCATCCATCCATCCATCTGTCCATCTATCCATCCATCTATCCATCCATCTGCTGTCCATCCATCATCCATCTGCCATCCATCCATTCACCACACATCCATCTACCAATCCGTCTTCTCATTTATCCAATAAACCATTACCCACCCACTCAAACAACCTCCATCCATCTATCCTTCCATTCATCCACCTATTTATCCACCTAGTTGTCCACCATCTATCCACCCATCCTTCTGTCTACCCAGTCATCTTCCATCCATCCATCCATCCATCCATCCATTTGCCGTCCAACCACCATCCATCATCCATCCATCTATTCATTTATTCATCCATCCATCCATCTATCCATGGATCCATCCATCCATCCATCTGCCATCCATCCACCATCCATCTGCCATCTATCCATTAATCCATTGATCCATCCTTAATCCATTGATCCATCCATACATACATCCATTCACCATCCATCTACCATCCATCTTCTATCCATCTATTAATTCATTGATCCACCCATCCATCCATTCATCTATCCATCCATTCATTGATCCATTCATCCATCCTTCCTTCCTTCCAGCCACCTATCAACTCATTGATCCGTTCATCCTTCTGTCCACTCAGATATCTATCCATCCATCCACATGTGCATACATATACCCTTTTATCTATACATCCATCCATCTGTCCTTCCATCCACCCCTCCATCCAACCACCTGTCCACCCAGAGAAGTGACAACAATATTCATTAATAATTCCCTCCCACCCTCATTTTGTAAGTCTTTATCAGGCACCCACTTTATAGCCAGCAACAAGCTGGGAGCCTTGGGAGACACCAAGATGTATCCATAAAACCCTTAAAAGGATAGTACAGAAACCACTCTGGATTCGAAGTGAGCACATGCTTGCAACTTGGTTCTAGACAGTTTCTTTTCATTTTCCCTCCCTCCCTCCCTCCCTTCTTTCCTTCCTCTCTCTCTGCTCTCTCTTTCTTTCATGTTTTTTTTTTTTTGGATAGGGTCTCACTGTTGCCCAAGCTGAGGCAGTGGCACAATCCCAGCTCACTGTAGCCTTGAACTCCTGGGCTCTAGTGATCCTCCTATCTCAGCCTTCAAAGTAGCTGGGACTACAGGCATGCATCACCATACTCAGGTTAGACAGTTTCTCCGACATGGTGGCAAAGTCTTCTAAACTCTGACAAAAATTATCACTAGATCAGATATAACTATGTTCCAAAGGAGAGAGCCCTCCCTGGTTGAAAGGTGGGATTTGGATAAATAGTGAGAGCAGCGGAGGGCACTCCAAAGGCATAGAGATGGGCATAAACTTGGAGCATGCTGGGCCCACTGAGGGCCTGGCTGGAGCAGAGATCAGGGTTAGAGAAAAGCTGAGAGATGAGGCTGAGGCAGGAGGCAGGGGCAAGATGGGGTGAGGGGATGCTCCCTTGATGTCCCCTCTTTATTGTGGCTCACCTCTTCCGAGCCCCAGCCATGAGAGAGGATGCGGAGGGGTCCCCTCTGGAAGGGCTGGAGCAGCTCAGCCGGGGGTCACTCCCCCAGCGGGGCAGCAGGGAGGACTCAAAGGCTGGAGGTGACAGGCCGTGGAAGCTCTGAGCACGGGGCCGGGGGACAGCCCCCGGAGGTCTGTGGTAGGCCCTGGGTAGCTGTTCGCTGGCGTTGAGCTGGAAGTCATCATCCATGGAGATGTAGGGGGCCAGCATCTCCAAATCCAGAGCGTCAGCATCCTGTGGAGGGCAGGAGGGGAAGTAAGAGCATGAGCCTTGGACTTGGGTGGACCCAGGCTGAAGTCATTGCACCACCACTTCTGAGTTCTGGGCCTATGGCCAACAGTCTGAGCTTCAGTTTCCTCATCTGTAAAATGGGTATAAGGACTCTCTGAAGAGCATGTTAGAGAAATCTGAAATTGAGTCACAGGCATGGTAGCTCACACCTGTAATCCCAGAGCTTTTAGGAGGCTGAGTCAGGAGAATCACTTGAGGCTAGAAGGTCAAGACCAGTCTGGGTAACATAGCGAGACTTCTATCTCCACAAAAAAGAAAAAAATTAGCCAGGTATGGTGGCCCATGCCTGTAGTTCTAATTATTCAGGAGGCTGAGGTGGGAGGATTGTTTGAGCCCAAGAGTTTGAGGTTGCAGTGTGCCATGATTACACGATTGCAGTCTAGCCTAACCGACAGAGTGAGACACTGGAAAGAAAGAAAGGGCCGGGTGTGGTGGCTCACGCCTGTAATCCTAGCACTTTGGGAGACCGAGGTGTGTGGATCACAAGGTCAAGAGATCGAGACCATCCTGGCCAACATGGTGAAACACCATCTCTACTAAAAATAAAAAAAATTAGCTGGGTGCGGTGGCACACACCTGTGGTCCCAGCTACTCGGGAGGTTGAGGCGGAAGAATCGCTTGAACCCAGGAGGTGGAGGCTGTAGTAAGCCAAGATTGTGCCACTGCACTCCAGTCTGGCGACAGAGCAAGACTCCGTCCAGGAGGCAGAGGTTGCGGTGAGCTGAGATTGGGCCATTGCACTCCAGCCTGGGTAACAGGAGCGAAACTCCGTCTTAAAAAAAAAAAAAGAGAGAGAGAGAGAGAGGGAGAGAGAGAGAGGAGAGAGAGAGAGAGAGAAAGAAAGGAAGGAAGAAATAAATCCTAAATGCCTCAAAGAAACCATCAGTCAAAATCTGAATATTAAGAAAGCTCAGAGGGATTACAGAGAAGTGAGAAACCTTACTGGAAACCAGAGGAAAGAGAATGTTTATCCTGTAGTGGTGGAAAGTTTAGCAACATTGTTGCCTGTAGTGATGTGGAAAGTAGAAAATAAAACCAATAACACCAGGTGATCCAGCTAAGATTTCCAGCCAGAGCATTGGAGAGGCTGCCTGATTTCTTCTTGTTACTTATAGTAAAAGGCAAGAGGAGACAGAGAGAGAAGGAATATTTCTCCTAAAGGAAGAAATGTTAAACATGAAAGAGAGAGGACTTGAAGGTTTTGAAGATTCTCAACCTCCTCGTGTAGTGAATAATTAACTTTACCCAAAGCGAGGTCTGATTTTTGCCCCAGCTCCTAGAAGGGAACCTCCAAACCTTTGGAATGTCCTGAGTGATAGTGGTGTCTTTGCTGTTCACTGTGGGTCCTCTGGATAGTTCATGCTAACCAGCTGACTCATGGTGAACCCCTAGGTAGTTTATGCTGATGAGATAACTCAGGATGGAGGCTGACCATGCAGAAAGAACAACCATGTGATTAAAGAGTTGTGGCTTTGGTCCACACAATATCAGCCTGATCCAGGGAAGGTAGGGGTGGCATTGAAGACTGAATTCAAGGACATGGACAGTAATTTGCTCAATCATGCCTATGCAATGAAACCCCAATGAAAACTCTGAACACGGATGCTTTGGTGAGCTTCCTGAGTTGGCATTACTCTGCACATATTGCTACATATCAATGCTGGAAGGATAACATGTCCCTGAGGACAAGAAAACGTTCCATTTGGGACCCTCCAGTCCCAGATTCCACCTATGAATATTTTCCTTTGTGTCTGATTTGTACTCTTTTGTTATAATAAAGCTACAATCCTAAGTACAGCACTTTCTGAGGCTGATGAACACCTCTAGCAAGCTATCAGGCCTGAGGGAGTCTACAGGAGTCTGGGTATCTCCACATTGGTGGGCAGCTGATCTAAAGTGAGGGTGGCCCTGGGGACCTTCAAACTTGTGGCTGATGTCGGAAGTCAGGCAGACTTGGCGGTCAGGAGAACCATGCCATTAACCTTGAGCTTGGTTGATTGTAGGAGACCTCAGATGGCAAATGATGCTAATATTAAGAAGTGTCTCTGAGCCAGCCTGGTGAAATCCCCCTCTATTAAAAATACAAAAATTAGCTTGGCATGGTGGTGGGCACCTGTAGTCCCAGCTAGTAAGGAGGCTGAGACCAGAGAATCATTTGAACCTGGGAGTTAGAAGCTTCAGTGAGCCGAGATCACACCACTGCATTCCAGCTTGGGTGACAGAGTGGGACACTATCTCAAAAAAAAAAAAAAAAAAAAAAAAAAAAAGAAGTGGTCTCTGAGCAATGACGAGCATCCTTGGGCCAGGCACAGTGGCTCATACCTCTAATTCCAGCACTTTTGGAAGCCAAGGCGGGAAGTTAAAGTTCCCACTTGAGCCAAGGAGTTCAAGACCAGCCTGGGCTATATAGCAAGACTCTGTCTCTATTTTTAAACATTCTTTTTCATTACAAAAGTTCTTTATAATGAAAGAACTTCTGGGCTGGCATGGTGGCTCATGCCTGTAATCCCAGCACTTTGGGAGGCCAAGGTGGGTGAATCACGAGGTCAGGAGTTCGAGACCAGCCTGGCCAACATGGCGAAACCCTGTCTCTATGAAAAATACAGAAAATTAGCTGGGCGTGGTGGTGGACACCTGCAGTCTCAGCTATTCGGGAGGCTGAAACAGAAGGATCGCTTAAAACAGCGAGGCAAAGGTCGCAGTGAGTCGAGATCGCACCACTTCACTTCAACCTGGGGACTCTGTCTCAATTTAAAAAAAAAAAAAAAAGGAAAAGAAAGAACTTCTGATATTTGCCCATATGGATGGACCAGGGATATATGCCTGCTCCTCTTCCCCTCCTTTTTGAATACTAGTGTCTATTCCTGTCTTATCATCGTATATTGAGAATGTGGGTGACAGATGACTTGTCTCCATTAGTCCACGAGCCAAAATATTGAGAGGAACGGTACTCAAGGAGCTTCACCAGCATGCAAACTAGATTCAGATGATCAGACTCTGGACTTTAAGCTGATGCTGTAATGGGAGACTTTGGGGGGCCTTGAGAGGAGGGTGAGTGTATTTTGCATGAGGAAGAGAGAGACATCAGTCGTTGCAAGTTCCCAAGGATCCCCGCCTCTTGATGTCCACACTCTTATGCTGTTGCCTGCCTCCCACAGTGTACAGGATTTATCTGTAGGACCAAAACAATATGGCAGAAGTGATGTTTTGTCACTTCTGAGAGGCGCTCTGAAAGACTGTGCCTTCTGTCTGGGACTTGTTCTTTCTGTCTCTCTGCTTCCCCATTTGTCTTTTTCTCTCTTGGTTGGATTGCTTGCCTTAGAGAATCCAACTGCCATTTTGTCAGGACTCTGAGGCAGTCTATGTAGAGGCTCACGTCATGAGGAACTGAGGCCTCCAGACAAAACAAAGTGAGGGATTGAGGCCTGCCAACAACCTTATGTGTGTGAGCTTGGAAGAAAATCCTCTAACCCCAGATGACTGGAGCCCTAACTGAGGGGTTGACTTCAACCTCATGAGAGACTCTGAGCAAAAACCTGCAGCTAAGCTGCTCCTGAATTTCTGATACTTAGTCACCATGTGACATAATAAATCTTCGCTGTTTTAAGGTGTTAAGCTTTTAGGCTATTTGTTACACAGCAATAGATAACTAATACATCAGGCCACTGTCATTTTATCTATGCACTCAATAAATTATCCATTTAAATATCACCCATCCATTTTTCAACCATCTATCAAAATATCCAACCATTCATCCACCCATCCACCCATCTATCCATCCATTAAAATATCTGCCTAAACATCATCCATTCATCAACCAACATCTACCTAATAAATACAATGGTCCATCCATCCCTCCATCCCTCCATCCCTCCATGCTTCCATCTATTCTTCTATCCCTCCCTCCATCCACCCATCTATCCATTCATCCATCCATCCATCCCTCTATCCATCCATCCATCCCTCCATCCATCCCTCCATCCATCCATCTATCCAGCCATCCACTCATTCCTTTACCCATCCCACTACCCTTCTCTAAAGCCACATATGGGAATCCCCAGAACAGAGAGCTGAGAATTACTCCTTCCATGCCAGCCCTTACCTGAGCTACATCTAAATCTGTCTCCACCGCCTCAGTGTCTTTCCCAGAAGTGAAGAATCTGTGCACATTCTCTGTGCCCACAGGTAGTTCATCTGGGAGATCAGCCTGTAAAGAGACGGAGTAGAGACTTAAGGAGATCTTGAGCCTGGGAGGTATCAACAGTAAGACAGTCTGCAGCTCAAGGTTAGAGGTGGGGGTCAAATGCCAGGCATCTGGGGCACCAAGGGGGTCCAATGGCAAATGCAGATGAGTTTTGAACCTGGGTGTTCAAAAGTCAGAGCACCTGGGTGTATGCAGACTGACAGGCCAAACATGGAAGGTTAGAAAGATCAGAGCTTGGCTGGGCTCGGTGGAGCTATGATTGTGCCACTGCACTCTAGCCTGGGTGACAGAGCAAGGCACTGCTTTAAAAAAAAAAAAAAAATCAGAGCCTAAGGCCAAGACTTCCTTTTTTTTTTTGAGATGGAGTTTTGCTCTTGTTACCCAGACTGGAGTGCAATGGTGTAATCTCGGCTCACTGCAACCTCTACCTCCTGGGTTCAAGTGATTCTCCTGCCTCAGTCTCCCGAGTAGCTGGGATTATGGGATCCCGCCACCATACCTGGCTAATTTTTGTATTTTTAGTAGAGACAGGGTTTCACCGTGTTAGTCAGGCTGGATTTGAACTCCTGATCTCAGGTGATCTGCCCACCTCAGCCTCCCAAAGTGCTGGGATTTCAGGTGTGAGTCACCGCACCTGGCCTGAGGAAGACTTTCAAACAAATTCTCTGGGGTTAAAGGTCTTAGAATCTGGAGTTTTAGGGGAAAACAATGGAGAGGCCAGCTGTCTCAGGGGTGAAGGGTGAGGTCAGAGGTCACAGACTGTATTTCTTCTCAGAGAAGATATTTTCTTGGGGTGGAGAGTGAAGATGAAGACAGTCAACACTGGACAATACAGACCCACTGAGGTCAAAGGTCAGACTATCTTCACCCTAAATAGTAATAGTAACTGGTATGATCTATTGAACGCCAACAGGTGCCAGGCCCCTACTGAGTGATTCTCATGAATACTCTCACTTAATGCTTAGAATAACCAATCATGGGGTAACTTGTTATTATCTTTCTTTTGCAGGTGAGGAAATTAAGGTCTCATGAACTCACTTGCCCGGCCAGGGTAATGCAGCTGATAAATGGCAGATTTAGGATTGAATCTATGTCTGTGTAAATCAGGACATTAGACGTTTTGACTCTTTGAGGTCAAAGTTCAGAGAACTGGATGCTTGGTCGCAAGCTGGAGAGGGAGGAGGATCATCTGTGCCAGCTCCAAACATCCTAGGTTGGGGGCCTCATGTGGTTTGGCTGTGTCCCTACCCAAATCTCATCTTGAACTATAGCTCCCATGATTCCCATACATTGTGGGAGGGACCCGGTAGGAGAAAACTGAATCATGGGGGCAGTTTCCCCCATACTGTTCTCATGAAAGTGAATAGGTCTCATGAGATCTGATGGTTTTATAAGGGGAAACCCCTTTTGCTTGGTTCTCATTCTCTCTTGCCTGCTGCCATGTAAGACGTATCTTTTGCCTTCCGCCATGATTGTGAGGCCTCCCCAGCCACGTGGAACTGTGAGTCCATTAAATCTTTTTTTTTTTCCTTATAAATTACCCAGTCTCGGGTAGTTCTTTAGCAGTAGCGTGAAGACGGACTAATACAGGGCCTGTGGTGTTATTTGATATATATGGTTTCATGCATGGTTCCTGGGTCAAACTCTCATGACCCTTGTTACAACGTTGGCTGTGTTAGGCCTCAGGAAACAGACTCTCTCCAGCCTTCTTCTGCCCTCCTTTTACCTGCTCCAAGGCAGGTAATCTTCCCCTGTTTTTCTGACTGTGAGTCATAAGACTGTCCGCAGAGAGGGTTCTGCTTGATATCCTCGGGGAAAGAATGCTGACATCATGACGCTTCCATAACAACCCAAGAGCACTGGGTTTGAGGGGCTTCCAGAGAGCTGACCCATGGAGGATCACCCAGGCTGGAGGGTGGTGCCCAGGGATGGCATAGAAGCTCCAAGACCCTTCTTTCCCCCATATCTCACTCAACATATTCCTTCATCTGTATCCCATGCAATATCCTTGACAATGAACCAGTAAACCTAAGTGAGCGTCATCCTGTCTATTGTGAGCTGCTCCAGCAAATTAATCAAACCCAAAGAGCCAGGTGTGATGGCTCATGCCTACAATTCCAGCACTTTGGCAGATCACTTGAGGTCAAGAGTTCAAGACCAGCCTGGCCAACATGGTGAAACCCTGTCTCTAATAAAAATACAAAAAATTAATCGAGTGTGGTGGCACACATCTGTAATCTCAGCTAATTGGGAGGGTGAGGCAAGAGAATTGCTTGAACCTAGGAAGCAGAGGTTGCAGTGAGCCAAGATCGTGCCACTGCACTCCAGCCTCTATCTCAAAACAATAAAAAATTTTTTTAAAAAAGAAAGAAAATCAGGCCGGGCGTGGTGGCTCAAGCCTGTAATCCCAGCACTTTGGGAGGCCGAAGGCGGGTGGATCACAAGGTCAGGAGATCAAGACCATCCTGGTCAACATGGTGAAACCCCATCTCTACTAAAAATACAAAAAATTAGCTGGGCATGGTGGCGCGTGCCTGTAATCCCAGCTACTCAGGAGGCTAAGGCAGGAGAATTGCCTGATTCCAGGAGGCAGAGGTTGCAGTGAGCCGAGATCACGTCATTGCACTCCAGCCTGGGTAACAAGAGTGAAACTCCGTCTCAAAAAAAAAAAAAGAAAGAAAGAAAATCAAACCCAAAGAGGAGGTCATGAGAACCCCAACTTGAAGCTGGTTGGTCAGAAATTCTGGAGGCTGGGCATGGTGGCTCACACCTGTAATCCCAGCACTTTGGGAGGCTGAGGCAGCCAGATTATTTGCGGCCAGGAGTTCAAGACCAGCCTGGCCAACATGATGAACCCCTGTCTCTACTAAAAATACAAAAAATTAGCTAGATGTGGTGGCATACACCTGTAATCTCAGCTACTCAGGAGGCTGAGGCACCACTGCACTCTAGCCTGGGTGACAGAGTGAGATTCTGTCTCAAAAAAGAAAAGAAACAAAGAAACAAAAAACAGCCAAGGCCAGGCTTGGTGGCTCACGCCTGTAATTCTAGCACTTTAGGAGGCTGAAGTGAGTGGATCATCTGAGATTATGAGTTCAAGACCAGTCTATTTAACTTGGTGAAACCCCATCGCTACTAAAAACACAAAAATTAGCTGGGCATTGTGGTACACATCTGTAATCCCAGCTACTCGGGAGGCTGAGGCAGGAGAATTGCTTGAACCTGGGACAGGGAGGTTGCAGTGAGCCAAGATTGCATCACTGCACTCCAGCCGGGGCGGCAGAGTGAGACTCCATCTCAAAAATTAAAATAAGAAAGAAATTCTGGAGGCCCAGACTTCTGACTAGTGTCTGAAGAACAACGAGCAGTCTTGGGGACTGAGCCCCAACCTGTGGGGTCTGACACTATCTCCAGGTAGATGGTGCCGGAAGTGAATTAGAGGACACCCAGCTGAGTCTGCTGCTTGGTGTGTGAGGAACATTGCCCACATTTGGTCACACAAGTCTTCTTCTGTGTTGATAATTGTTGCATTATTAGGAGAGCAGAGGAGAAACATAGCTTGAGAGTTTTTCCCTAAATGGAGGCAGATTCTGGAATTCTAACAATTGAAGAATATGGATCTGGGTCTTAAAGGAACCTAAATTTCATCTCATCCCAACCTCCCCACTACACAGATGGAGAAACTGAGTCCCAGAGAACAGCCAGGTTTAAGTCACAGGCCAAGCCAACCTGGGGGACTGAGCCCTGGATGCTGAGGGCTCACGTGGGTGGGATGGCTTACCGAAAGAGGACTTCGGGGGCGCCGTGTGGCTGGTGGGGTGCTGGGGGTGGCAGCTACTGAAGTCCCATCCAGGATTGGTCCCAGGAGGCGACGGAGGTCAGGGCTGCAGAAACGGCGGGGGTCAGCGGCCAGGGCAGCCTCGCTCAGGGAAGGGGGGTGCAGGAATGCAAGGATCCGGGGGCCAGGGGTGTCTGCAGGACATGTGGGGACAGGGAGGACACGGGCTGGTGACCTCGGGCTGAGGGACACAGCCCTCCACACCAACCCCAGGAACACAGTTAACATCTTCAGCAAGTCAGGATGGCCACTGCTCTTAGTGCCTCGCTCTGTCGCCCAGGCTGGAGTGCGGTGGCAAAATCTCAGCTCACTGTAGCCTCTGCCTCCCGGGTTCAAGCAATTCTTCTGCCTCAGCCTCCCGAGTAGCTGGAATTACATGTGGGTGCCCCCATGCCCAGCTAATTTTTGTATGTTTTGTAGAGACAGGGTTTCATTATATTGGCCAGGCTGATCTCAAACTCCTGACCTCAAGTGATGCGCCCACCTCAGCCTCCCAAAGTGCTGGATTTACAGGCATGAACGACCACATCTGGCCCAGGTGTAAACTTTAGTGGCCAGATTGTGGTAAGGCTCTGGAAGGTCCTAGGGGAGGGGAGTGGTGACCCAGAACAGCATTTGGCCATTCAGCTCTGGGGAGCTTGCACCTTAGGAAAGAAGACTGGCCCCAAGCCCTCAAGGAGGCTATAAGGTCCCCTGAGGTTAAGACAGAGCCCAGAGCCAGCGCTGAGCCAGAAAAGGAAAGGATATCATATCAGCAATCCCATCCCACACCCAGAAACATGGGCGGCCAGCAAGAGCCTGAAGGACAAACAGGGAGGGAGGCTCATCCAGGATGGGAGGAGAAAGAAGGAAGAGGGAGGAAGCAGCCAGACTTAGGTGGATTGAGACTACTGGACGCCAAAGAGCAGCCAAGCCGAACAGGGAGGGAGCAGAAGCCTGGGGGCAATGTGAGGCCACAGCAGAATTTAGAGCGGAGGCCAGCACGAGACTGAAGCAAACATGCCATAGCCACAGGAGAGGAGGGAGGATGGGAGAGAGAAGAGCATTCTGGGCGGAGGAAACTGCATGTGCGAAGGCCCTGAGCACGAGGCTGGAGCGTTCTGAGGCCTCTTAGGAGGCAGTGTGGTTTGGAGGCTGCATGCGCAGGGAAGGGAGGCAGGTCCCACGGGGCCTGGTGGGCCATGTTAAGGTACTTGGGCTTTCTCCCAAGGGCCCTGGGGACACAACCCCTCCCAGCCCCAGCCCTGCCCCATACCAAGGCTGTCCCCAGGGTTAGAAGCATCCTTCTGGGAGGGGCCACCCTGCCGAATGGGTCTGCGAGAGTGTTGCTCCGTTTGCTCCAGGGACAGCACCACTCCGGTCTCTTCTACCCGGCTGGGGTACAAGGCAGAAAGGGAGATGGGAGTCAGGGAGGGTCCTTGGCTGCAGCCCAGGTGGTCTGTTCAGGTGACATCCTATTACAAGAGGCAACGGCACCCAGGGACTTGGAGGGCATTTTGCAGAAAATAATTACCCACATTTATTTGTCTCCTACAAGGGTTTGATTTTTGTTGACTGCTTTTTATTCTGACAGCATTTTTTTTTTTTTTTTTTTTTTTTTAAGACAGGGTCTCCCTCTGTTGCCCAGGTTGGAGTGCAGTGGTGCAATCTCGGCTCACTGCAACCTCTACCTCCCAGGTTCAAGTGATTCTCCTGCCTCAGCCTTCCAAGTAGCTGGCATTACAGGTGCACACCCTCACACCTGGCTAACTTTGTATTTTTAGTAGAGATGGGGTTTCACCATGTTGACCAGGTTGGTCTCGATCTCCTGATCTCAGCTGATACACCCGCCTCAGCCTCTCAAAGTGCTGGGATTACAGGCGTGAGCCACTGCGCCTGGCCTATTCTGACAACATTTTAAAAAGAAAGTTAAGTTTGTCCCTTTCCAGGCTCCTTCTGTAAAAGGAAAGGCAGAAAAAAGAGCTGGCATTTAGCACAGCCTGGGCAGAGAGGAGGAAGACTGAGGGATGGGGGTGGGGCAGGCCCGAAAGACAGAAGTGGAGGAGACCTAGGAACAGGGAGGGGAGGTCCCGGGGCAGAGAGAGGGGTGAGCAAAAGGCTTCAGAATACCTAAATATTCCCTTTATAGATTCTTAGAAAGGTATTGATGAAAAAATCTATTTTTAACGTAGTCTTCATTATATTACCAAATAGGAAGAATTCATAGGGCTGTAATTTTTATGAATAAGATTTGATTTATGCCGTTTCTATTCATAGCTATTTTTCATATTCAAGGGAACACGTTTATAAATACCTCCTTATGTCCCGGCACCTCCCCTCACGCAGTCTCTGGCTGCAGAGACGATCCAAACGCTTGCTGGGCAAATTGGCTTTTGGAGAGTTGGGTGGGGCTGAGGATCAAGCCCTCATTTGCATCTCATCTGCATAACCCCCTACAGGACAGGATGCAGGTGGGCCTGATCTTCCCACCAGCTTCTTGAGAAGCTATGACCTTTTCCCACCCTCATGAAACCCTCCCTGGGCAGGAAACATCCCAATTTAGGCTGGATCAAAGCCACTCTTATTCCCCTGAAAAACATGAGCACATACGACCGCACTCATACACACACTCAGCACACACTCGGTATACACAGGCACACACAGGAGCCTCACATACACCCAACAGGGTACAGGGACAGAGATGCTCACACGTTCCATACACCTGGGTTCAAATATGTGCACATGTGCCACATTCAGTTCACGTCATTCCACAGACACCTCCTCGTTAAGCACTACTGTGTAGTGGTTCATAGCAAGGACTCTGCAGCTAGTGGCCTGGGTTCAAATCCCAGCTCTGCTACTTACACAGCAGTGTGATCTTGAACATGAATAATAAAATGTATTATTAAAACTAGGCTGGGCATGGTGGCTCACGCCTATAATCCCAGCACTTTGGGAGGCCAAGGCTGGTGGATCACCTGAGGTCAGGAGTTCAGGATCAGCTTGGTCCACATGGTGAAACCCCATCTCTACTCAAAATACAAAAATTGGCTGGGCATGGTGGCATGCACCTGTAGACCTAGCTACTCAGAGGCTGAGGCAGGAGAATCATTTGAACCCTGGAGGTGAAGGTTGCAGTGAACCAAGATCACACCACCACACTTCAGCCTGGGTAATAGAGTGAGACTCAAAAATAAATAAATTAAATTACATTTAAAAAATAAATACAATTAATTTCACTTGCCTCTGTTTACTTTTTTTTTTTTTTTTTTTTTTTGAGACAGGGTCTTGTTCTGTCACTCAGGCTGGAATGATGCAGTGGTGCAATCTCAGCTCACTGCAGCCTCAATCACCCAGGTGATCCTCCTGCCTCAGCCTCCTGAGTAGCTGGGACTACAGGCACATGCCACCATGCTAGGTTAGTTGTTAAATTATGTGTAGAGATGTGGGTCTCCCTATGTAGCCAAGGCTATTCTCAAACTCCTGGCCATGGCCTCCCAAAGTGTTGGGATTACAGGTATGAGCTACCAAGCCCAGCATTCTGTTTACCTTTTTAATGTAACTACTAGAAAATTCAAAATGATGTATGTGGCTGGCATCATGCTTTTATTGGACAATGTTGGGTTAGATGGTGGTAAGTACTAGGGAAGGCCTGTCACGGTGGCTCACACCTGTAATCCCCAGCACTTTGGGAGCCCACAGTGGGCAGATCATCTGAGGTCAGGAGTTCGAGACCAGCCTGGCCAACATGGTGAAACCCTATCTCTACTAAAAATACAAAAATTTAGCCAGGTGTGGGTGGTGGGTTCCTGTAATCCCAGCTACTTGGGAGGTTCATTCAGGAGAATCACTTGAACCTGGGAGGCAAAGGTTGGTTGCAGTGAGCCAAGGTCATGCCACTGCACTCCAGCCTAGGCAGCAGAGCAAGACTGTCTCAAAAAAAAAAAACAACAACAAAAAAAAACAATGATAGCATTAAGTACTAGGGAGAAAATAAAGCAATTTTGAAAAGGGCAATCAAAGAATCAAAGAAGGCCTAGCTGAACAGACAAGTTAATAGGATAATTACAAATGGTTTTTTTTTTTTTTTTTTTTTTTTCCGAGACGGAGTTTCGCTCTTGTTACCCAGGCTGGAGTGCAATGGCGCGATCTCGGCTCACCGCAACCTCCGCCTCCTGGGTTCAGGCAATTCTCCTGCCTCAGCCTCCTGAGTAGCTGGGATTACAGGTACGTGCCACCATGCCCAGCTAATTTTTTGTATTTTTAGTAGAGATGGGGTTTCACCATGTTGACCAGGATGGTCTCGATCTCTTGACCTCGTGATCCACCCGCCTCGGCCTCCCAAAGTGCTGGGATTACAGGCTTGAGCCACCACGCCCGGCCCTACAAATGGTTTTATAAGTGCTCTGGTGTAAATGTACAGGATACCAGGAGAGAAAATGGGGGTGAGGGGCACCTGACCTCACATAGGGGCTCAGGAAAAATGGTCTCCAGAAGTGATGTCTGAGCTGAGACTGGAAGGCTCACACCTGTAATCCCAGCACTTTGGTAAACCAAGGCAGGTGGGTCACCTGAACTCAGTAGTTCAAGACCAGCCTGGGCAACATCATGAAAGTCCATCTCTACAAAAAATACAAAAAAAGTAGCCAGGCATGGTAGTGCATGCCTGTAGTCCCAGCTACTTGGGAAGCTCAGGTGGGAGGATTGACTGTGCCCAGGAGGTCAAGGCTGCAGTGAGCCCTGTTGGTGCCACTGTACCCCAGCCTGCAAAACAAAGCAAGACTTTATCTCAGATTTTCTTTTTGAGACAGAGTCTCACTCTGTCGCCCAGGCTGGAATGCAGTGGCGCGATCTAGGCTCACTGCAACCACTGCCTCCCAAGTTCAAGTGATTCTCCTGCCTCAGCCTCCTGAATAGCTGGGACTACAGATGTGTGCCACCACGCCCAGCTAATTTTTTGTATTTTTAGTAGAGATAGGGTTTCACTGTGTTAGCCAGGACGGTCTCAATCTCCTGACCTTGTGATCTGCCTGCCTTGGCCTCCCAAGTGTTGGGATTACAGGCATGAGCCATCATGCCCAGCCTCAAATAAATTTATATATAGATATAGATATAGATAGATAGATAGATAGATTGATTGATTGATTGATTTGTATTTCAGAACATTCCTCCAGATTTGGAAAAACCCCTAAGGCTTTAGAAACTGGTGCCATGTCCTGTAAGATAACCTTCAAAGAAAAGCTGTATTTTTTTTTCTTTTCTTTGTTTTTTTTTAAGACAGTCGTACTTGTTGCCCAGGCTGGCGTGCAGTGACCCGATCTCCGCTCATTGCAACCTCCCAGATTCGAGCAATTCTCCTGGCTCAGCCTTCCAAGTAGCTCAGATTACAGGCACACGGCACCACGCCCGGCTAATTTTTGTATTTTTAGTAGAGATGGGGTTTTGCCATGTTGGTCAGGCTGGTCTCGAACTCCTGATCTCAAGTCGTCTGCCCACCTTGGCTTCCCAAAGTGCTGGGATTACAGGCATGAGCCACTGCACCTGACCAAAAAGCTGTAATTCTTTTTTTTTTTTTTTTTTTTTTTTTTTTCTTTGAGACGGAGTTTCGCTCTTGTTACCCAGGCTGGAGTGCAATGGCGCGATCTCGGCTCACCGCAACCTCCGCCTCCTGGGTTCAGGCAATTCTCCTGCCTCAGCCTCCTGAGTAGCTGGGATTACAGGCACGTGCCACCATGCCCAGCTGATTTTTTGTATTTTTAGTAGAGACGGGGTTTCACCATGTTGACCAGGATGGTCTCGATCTCTCGACCTCGTGATCCACCCGCCTCGGCCTCCCAAAGTGCTGGGATTACAGGCTTGAGCCACCGCGCCCGGCCAAAAAGCTGTAATTCTAACTCTGCCTCATTATGTTGTCATGGATACCGCTACGTTCCTAAATGGTGAAAAGCTTCTATAACACATAATGGAGGAAAAAAGCCCCATCACTATTTTCCCACTAAACACCTATTAGAATGACTAAAAGTAACACCAAACCCCAAAACCCAGACAATATGAAAAGCTGGCAAGGATGTGAAGCAACTAGAACCCTCATACATTGCTGATGGGAATGAAAAACAATACAGCCACTTTGGAAAACAGTTTGGCTGTTTCTCTCTCTCTCTCTCCCTTTTTTTTTTTTTTTGGTAACAGAGTCTCGGTCTGTTGTCCAGGCTGGAGTGCAGTGGTGCAATCTTGGCTCACTGCAACCTCTGCCTCCCAGGTTGAAGTGATTCTCCTGGCTTAGTCTCCTAAGTAGCTGGCACTACAGACATGCACCACCACATCCAGCTAATTTTTGTATTTTTAGTAGAGACAGGGTTTTACCACATTGACCAGGTTGGTCCTGAACTCCTGACCTCAGGATCTGCCCACCTTGGCCTCCCAAAGTGCTGGGATTACAGGCATGAGCCACCGCACCCAGCCTTGGTTCGTTCATTCGTTCGTTTGTTCCTTCCTTCCTTCCTTTCTTCCTTCCCTCCCTCCTTCCTCCCTCCTTTCTTCTTCCCTCCCTCTCTCTCTCTTTCTTTCTCTTTTTCTTGACAGAATCTAACTCTGTCGCCCAGGCTGGAGTACAGTGGTGAAATCTCAGCTCACTGCAACCTCTACCTCACTGGGTTCAAGTGATTCTCATGTCTCAACCTCCCAAGCAACTGGGGTTATAAGCATGTGCCACCCATACCTGGATGATTTTTGCATTTTTAGTGGAGATGGGGTTTTGTCATGTTGGCCAGGCTGGTCTCAAACTCCTGGCCTCAGGTGATCCGCCTGCCTTGACCTCCCAAACTGCTGGGATTACAGGCGTGAGCCACTGTGCTCAGCCATGGCAATTTCTTATATTAAATATATACTTACTATATAACTCCTGTTTACCCAAGAGAAATGAAAACATGCAATCTCATGAAATCTTGTATAAGAATGTTTACAGTAGCTGTTTTTTTTTTTGTAATCACCCAAACTTGTAAATAGCCCAATGTCTTCCAACTGGTGAATGGATAAAAAAAACTTCGCTCCATTCATACCATGGGAATATTATTCACTGTTTACAAAGGAACTACCAATATAAACCACAACTTGGGATGGGCACGGGGGCTCACACCTGAAATCCCAGCACTTTGGCAGGCTGAGGCGGGTGGATCACCTGGGGTCAGGAGTTGAAGACCAGCCTGGCCAACCTGGTGAAAACGTCATCTCTATTAAAAATATGAAAATTAGCTGCGCATGGTGGTACATGCCTGTAATCCCAGCTATTCGGGAGGCTGAGGCAGGAGAATCACTTGAGCGCCAGTGTACTCCTGGGCAACAGAGTGAGACTCTGTCTCAAAAAACAAAACCAAACAAAACACAAGAAAGAAAGACCACAACATGGAGGAATTTTAAACATAACAGGCGAAGTAAAATCCAGGCCCAAAAGGCTACATACTGTATAATTCTCTGTATGTGACCCTCTGGAAAAAGCATAACTCTGGGGTCTGAGGACAGTGGTTGCCTGGGACATGGGGGTGTGGGAGGGGTTGACTGTAAGAGAATATTTTTGTGTAAAAAATTGTGGTAATGGCCGGGCATGGTGGTTCATGCCTGTAATCCCAGCACTTTGGGAGGCTGAGGCAGCTGGATCACTTGAAATCTGGAGTTCGAGACCAGGCTGGCCAACACAGTGAAATCCTGTCTCTACTAAAAACACAAAAAGTAGCTGGGTGTGGTGACAGGCTCATGCCTGTAATCCTAGCTACTTGGGAGGCTGAGGCAGGAGAATTGCTTGAACCTGGGAGGCTGAGGTTGAAGTAAGCCGAAATTATGCCATTGCACTCCAGCCTGGGGCACAAGAGCAAAACTGTCTCAAAAAACAAAATTGTGGTAATTGTGTAACCACTGTTACAATCACACTTACTGCTCAATAGCTGGGTTGTGATAGTAGTTACACAATTGCATGCATGTGTCAAAATTCATAGAACTGCGTACCATAAAGAAAATTTACTGTATGTAAGCCATACATCTTTTTTATTTTTATTTTTTGAGATTGTTCTTAACTACTTTGACCCGGCTGGTCTTGAACTCCTAGGATCTACCAATCCTCCTTCCTTGGCCTCCCAAAGTGCTGGGATTACAGGCATGAGCCACACACCAATTTTTAAAATGCAAAACAGACCCCAGGATTCTGTGACGTTTCTTATTTTAACTTGAATGTAGAGTCGTTTTTTCTTTTTGAGACAGAGTCTTGCTCTGTTGCCCAGGCCAGAGTGCAGAGATGCAATCTCGGCTCACTGCAACTTCCGCCTGGGTTCAAACAATTCTCATGCCTCAGCCTCCCAGGTAGTTGGGATTACAGGTGGGTCACCACACCCAGCTAATTTTTTTGTATTACTAGTAGAGACAGCGTTTTGCCATATTGGCTGGGCTGGTCTACAACTCCTGAGCTCAGGCAACTCACCCACGTCGGCCTCCCAAAGTGCCGGGATTACAGGCGTGAGCCACCACACCTACCAAATATAGGGCCCTTTCTAATTTGAATGAAGAGTCCACTTAAGCAGAGGTTTGCAGCAAGAAAAACAAATTAACAGTCCACACACCCATACACATACCTGTGTACCCGCAGGCACACACAACAACATTTACATGGCCACACACGTTCCTCACGTGTGCATGTGCACACTCCCTGACAAACACTTATGCATGATACACATGCATGCTTATATGCGTGCATGCACACACACACACACACACACACACCTGTCCACACGTACAGACCAGGCCCCCACACAGTCACCCCAACCCCTCCTTCCGCTTACCTGATTAAAAAATGGACACAGATGATACTCTCCGACTGGGAGCCCCGGCCCCCTGACACCACTGTGGCCTGGGTCTGGGTCCACAGGTAGCCACCGCTCCGGGCCAGGAATCGATACTGCCCTGTTACTGCCTGGCCCTTGCTGAGCACTGAGGAGGGGGATGGGGAGGAGTCAGGGCCACCAAGGGTGCAACTGGGGAGAGAAAGATCTGGGGGCTGGGTATGAGGGAGCAAGGAAGGAGATGGGTCCTTGGGGCTTGGGGAGCAGGGAGCTGGTGTTGGGGTGGGGAGGGAGTGCATTCTGGGGTGAGGGGAGCTCGGGGTCCTGGTGTCAGCTGTGGGCCATGTGGCAGCCGGCTCCAGGCCTGCGGAAATGGGGTACATACACGTGTGGATGCTCTTGCTGACTGCATCGAAGTCCAGCGCGTGGATGTACTCGTAGGCAGAACAGCCAATCAGGTCATCAGGACTGTAGCCGGCCACTTCTGCGATCCTGGGGGTGAGGCAGAGTGGGGTCTGGTCAGGATGCAACTGGCTGAGAGGGAGGGTAGATAGAGGGAAGTGGCAGCAGGGGACACAGGGACAAAGCCAGCAAGACGTAGAGAGGCAGGATTGTAACCCAGAGAAAAGGAGTAAGAAACGGAACAAGAGGAGTGTGGTGGGTTGAATAATGACCCCCAAAGATGTCCACATCCTAATTCCCGGAACCTGTGGCACCACACTGCTTGACGCAAATTGACTCATTCATTTAAGAAAAGGGACAAAGAGAGATAGACACTAAGAGAAAGACTCAGAGACAGAGATGAGAATGAAAGACAAAAGGAAGCCGGGCACGGTGGCTGACGCCTGTAATCTCAGCACTTTGGGAGGCAAAGGTGGGAGAATGGCTTGAGCCCAGGAGTTTGAGAGCAGTCTGGACAAATGGCGAGGCAGCGTTTTAACAAAAAAAAGAAAAGATAAAAAAGACACTTAGAAAATTCAGAGACAGGCAGACAGAGAGAGAGATGGATGAAGTGAGAAAGAAAGAGAGAGAAATGTGGGGTATGGAGGTGAGGAGGGAAACAGAGCACTTGAACTTGGGCAGAGGGAAGGGGGGGCCCTGCCCACCTGTCATCACAGTAGGTGAACTTCATGTCCAAGCTGTGGCGGCTGAGGAAGGCCCCCCGGCCCAGCGGGGGCTCCAGGCTGCCTGGGTGGGGGATGGCTTCGCAGATGAGCACCAGGCACTGAAGGGGGGGCTCTGAGTTGGGGCTCCCAGCTGGAGAAGTCTGTGCAGGGGGCTTGTAGGCCCTCATATGTCCAGAGCAGTGCAGCACCTGGGGGCCAAGACGGTGTGCGGGTGTGGAGACGGGGCAAGGCAGTGATGCCTCCCGGCCTGAAACCACCCATGGGGCTGGAAGACGTGTCCTGTGGCTCACCAGGGAGCTGAGACGCAGCTTAGAGCGCGTGAGGACTCTAGATTCCAACCCTGTGAAGATTCCAGGTTCAAAGGGGCTGAGGACCCCCTACCCCAGGCCCACAGGGACTCATCCTAAGAGAGCTTACAGGAGCCCCAGGTCCCGACTCCACAGACACCCACACTCCTTGATCCCCTAAGGACCCACTAGACCTGACCTGAGTGAGCCCCGCAGGGTTCCCAGCCCAGGGGATGCCAAGACTCCAGCACCCTTTGAGATCTTTCGGCGCTCACACCCAGCACCGGCAGCCCTGGCCGCCCCGGCATCCTTGCCCTTTTTCAGCCGGGCCCCACGCACCTTCCAGGTGGCCGCTTTGAGGTTGAGGGTGCGCCCACGGCTGGTGAGCGTACTCTTCATGCGCAAGGAGAAGCACCGCTCCGTTGGGGGGGCCTCTGCCTTCCTCCTGGACAGGGCTGGGGAGGCCCAGGATGGGGGGGAGGTCACAGGCAGCTGCACACAAGCCCAGTGCCCTCCAGCACCTTGGCTGGTCAGGCCTCCCCAGCTCCATCCCAATAATTAGGATCTGGAGCCAGAGAGGGTCCCCCAGGGGTAGTATGTGTCCCCTCAAACTCCCCAGGGCAGGGCCATCTCTCCTCTTCCTACTTGTCTTAGTCTGGTGTTCCAGAAGAGGAGGGAATATGCTGAGGGAAGGGTAGAGCCTCAGCTTCCTCCTCTGTACGGTGCGGACAGAGCCCTCTGGGGAACTCACTTTGCTGGGGGGTCAGGGCGTCCTGAAGCTCCTCTTGGTCACAGGGGTGGATGAAATCAAAGATGCTGTGTCCAATGAGCTCCAGCTGCCAGGGACAAGAGTGGGGTGGGGTCTACCAGGGCCTCTGACCCATCTCCTTCATCCAATCCTCATCCCCCCGCTCTAATTCTCAAGCCTGGATGATCTCACCGTCTCCCCATTCATTTATCCATCCATTTGTCCATCCATCCATCCATCCACCCACTGAGCAAGCATTTATTCAGCACCTACCAAGTGCCAGGCTCTCTTCTATTGATTGATTGATTGATTGATTGATTGAGACAGGTCTTGCTCTGTTGCCCAGGCTGGAGTGTAGTGGTACAATCATGACTTCCTGCAGCCACAACCTCCTGCACTCAAGCGATCTGATCCTCCCACCTCAGCCTCCTCAGTAGTTGGGACTACAGGTGTGCTCTGCCACACCGAACTATTTATTATTTATTTATTTTTTATTTTTGAGATGGAGTCTCACTCTGTCGCCCAGGCTAGAATGCCATGGCGCAATCTCAGCTCACTGCAACCTCCACCTCCCAGGTTCAAGCGATTCTCCTACCTCAGACTCCTGAGCAGCTGGGCCTACAGGCATGTGCCACCATGCCTAGCTAATTTTTGTAATTTTAGTAGAGATAGGGTTTCAGCATGTTGGCCAGGCTGGTCTCGAACTCCTGACCTCAAGTCATCTGTTCACCTTGGCCTCCCAAAGTGTTGGGATTACAGGTGTGAGCCACTGCTCTGGCTTTCAGCTAATTAAAAAAAAAACTTTTTGTAGAGATAGGGGTCTCACTATCTTGCCCAGGCTGGTCTCAAAGTCCTGAGCTCAAGCAGTCCTCCCACCTTGGCCTCCCAAAGTACTAGGATTATAGGTGTGAGTCAGCGCACCCAGCTCTTCTAAATGGTATGGACATGGTGGCCACACACACAAATCCCTGCCTTGAAGAGCTTACTGGCCAGTGGGATGAGACAGACAGTGAATGAAAGAGCATATAATAACAATGTAACAAGTAACATAAAGAAAACAAAAGCAGGAAAAGGTGATGCAATGATGGGAGGTTGCTTTAGAGAGAATGGTCTAGACAGTTTCTTTGAAGAGGTGACATTTAAAAAAACTGCTGAACAAAGCAAGTGAGGTAGTCTTGTGGCCGCCTGGAGTAAGAGTATTCTAGAAAGAAGGAACATTAAGTGCAAGGCTCTCCTTGCACTGAGATGAGACTCCATTTAAATCACACCTGTCTGGCAGACTGAAAACCCAACTCTATTTCAATTTGGGAAGTGAGCCTGGTGCTAGGAGGAGGGGACACAGGTGAAGGTGGACCCTGTTGGCTCACCATGTGAATGGTGCTGGTGCTGGTGAATAGGGAAAGAGGGAGATCTTGCTTCTCTGACAGCATCTCTTGTAGCTGGAGCCAAATTCTGGCTCTGCCACTTCCTAGCTTTGGGATCTTGTGACATTCATCACTCTGGGTCCGAATGCTCACTCACACTAACAGAGGAATTGGTACCAGGAGTGGGGTAACGAGGCAGAGAAAAGGAACAGATACCAACTATGGGATCCATTTATGTGAGATAGAAAAAAGAATGGGAACTCTCTCGTGGGCCTTGCTGTAAGGATGTATTAAAGTTAGTTCTACTTTCTATGCTCGCTTCAGCTGCACATAGGCTAAAAATCGGAAGACACAGAGAATGTTAGCATGGCCTCTGCGCAAGGATGATATGCAAATGCGTGAAGCCTTCCATGTTAATTTAAAAAAAGAAAGAAAGTTAGGTCTACTTTCTAAATGTCTCTTGTTTCTATTTTTCCATCCCCATGGCCCCTGCCCCTGTTCTTCTTCTCCCACCTGAGACTGGCATCTACCCTTTGCTGATCTCTCAACCTCTGATCTCACTCCCTCCAAATCTATCTCTATGAAGTACGTAGAGGGATCTTTCAAATATGTAAATTTGATTCTACCTCTCTGGCACAATCTCTACACTGCTTAAATTTGTTCTGTAGCTCCCCAGGGCCCTGGAGATAGAAGCTGACTTGGCTTTAAATTTGGCCACAGCCTACCCTGATGACCTCTCTAGCCTTTTATCTCTCAGCTTCTCCTATTGCACTCTGTACCTAGGAGGATAAACTTTTCTTTTCTTTTTTTTTCTTTTGAGACTGGGTCTTGCTCTGCCACCCAGGCTGGAGTGTACTGGTGCGATCTCAGCTCACTGCAACTTCCACCTCCCAGGCTCAAGTGAGCCTCCCACCCAGCTTCCCAAGTAGCTAGGACCACAGATGTGTGCCACCATACCTGGTAAATTTTTTATATTTTTGGTGGAGACAGGATTTTGCCATGTCGCCCAGGTGAAACACTGAACTCCTGAACGCAAGCTATCCTCCCATCTTGGCTTCCCAAAGTGCTAGGGTTGTTTAAGTGTGAGCCACTGCACGTAACCAGCTTCTTTATTTCCCCCAAATAATCTTTTTTTTTTTTTCCTCACCTCTTGGCCTTTGCCTCCTCTGTTTTCTCTGCCATGTACATTCTTCACTGATCCCATGCATTCTCCATACTCCTTTGACCAGCTAAGTTCTTCAGATTTCAGCTCAGATGTCCCCTCCTCCCAGAAGCCCTCCATTCCCACCCAGGCTGGGTCAGGTACACCCCACCCCTGGGCTTCCACAGCCCTCTAGACCAGGCATCCCCAAACTATGGCCCACGGGCCGCATGCGGCCCCCTGAGGCCATTTATCCGGCCCCCCACTGCAATCCAGGAAGGGGCACCTCTTTCATTGGTGGTCAGTGAGAGGAGCACAGCATGTGGCGGCCCTCCAACGGTTTGAGGGACAGTGAACTGGCCCCCTGTGTAAAAAGTCTGGGGACGCCTGCTCTAGACTGTCGCATCCCAGCCCTGACCATTGTGGGTCTTCTTGTCTAGTGACACACCTACATCCCCTTTGTACTGTGAGTCCCATAAAGGTGGGGCTATGGCTGTCCTGGTCACCACTGTATCCCCAGCATCACCAGTACAGGGCCAGGCACAGAGCAGGGAGCACCTCTCACCTGACTGAGGCCCAGGTGCTTGCTGACATTCTCCGACAGGTAAGCCATGTCTCCCTCGGCGGTGAGCACCATGACAAAGCCCTCCAGGGCCTTCAGGTAGCAGGCATCCAGTGGTTCTCCGCCTGCTCCCACCTGGTTCCACTCCCCTGGTACCCGGGGCAGGGAGGATGGGGGCATCTCTAAGTCAGTTGCAGACTGACCCTAGCTAGTCTCCCTCGGCCTTTCCTCAGAGAAACTTACGTGCACCCCGAAATGTGTGGGGGTACATACTAGTGGCCTGGATTCCCAAGGAAGAGAGCAGGATCATGAAGCACTTGAATTAGAATCAGGGCCTCCCGGGGGCAGAATTCTAAGGAAGTAGGAGTCTCCAAAGAGAACAGAATTCTAAGGATGCGGATGGGCCTCCTTGAAGGCCAGAATTCTAAGTGGATGGAACTCCCCAGGGTCAAAATATGAAGAGGCCAGGACCTATGGGGAGTTGCAATATAGAGCTGAGGGGGAAGCCTCCAGTTTGGAACTCATGGAGGGCAGGACCTTTCAGAGGCACAGAACTCTAGAGAAGCAGGGACTCCCAGGGGGACAGACTTCTAAGGGGGTAAAGCCTCCTAGAAAAGTAAAATTCTATGGGGCAGAGAAATCAAATGGGCAGAGCCTCCCAGAGAATAATGCTACTTCCTCCCTTTCCCAGGGTCCTGGGATTCCATGGGGTGTGTGTGTGACTGTGTGTGTGTGTGTGTGTGTGTGTGTGTGTTCGCGCGCGTGAACGTGTGTGGCAAAGCCCGCTGTGTGGTGCAATTCTAACTGGGTGGAAATTCAAGGAAATGCCTACTAAGGGAACAAGTTATGTAGAACTAGCAGGGTAGGGAAGGGACAAGGGACTCTCAGCTACGGTAATGAAAAGTTGGGCGGCGCAGACTCCCATTGGATTTGTTATGAGACCAGCGCCTATGCATCTGGGAGAGTCTCCTAGAGGACCAAATCGCAAGGGTTGTGGGGTTAGGGGTTTCTCTGAGCATCCTAAGGAGGCGGGGCTTCCAAAGGGCTTTTTTTTCGAGAGGCGTGGCCTCACAAGTGATGGACTTCTAAGGGGGCGGGACACCCAGGTGGCCGGAAACTTACAGGGGGCGGGGCCTCCCGTGGGAAGTGGCTTCCAGGGGGTGGGGCTCCGCTGGGAAGTCGTCACCAGAGGGCGGGGTTTTGCTGGGCTATGGCTTCCCGGAGGAGGAGCCTCCCAGGGATGTAGCTTTTCATGGGCGGGGCTTGGTCATGATGGGACTTCCCACGGGCGGGGCTCACCTGCGGCGCAGAGGCGGTGCATGCGCAGGTAGCTGATGGTGAGGCGCATGATAGAGGCCTTGTCCAGGTGGGCGCTGACGCCGCGTGCGAAGGGCAGCGTGTGCGCCAGCTGGTAGAGCACCTCGGTCTCCTGGCTGCGCCGGCTGCGGGCCGCATCGCGGGACTTTTCCTTGCGGAGCTCGGTGGCTGACCTGAGGGCATGGGCAGCGTTCACCGGTGGCAACTCGGGAAAGACAAGAGGAGCACGGAACGAGCCCGTGGGGCACTGCCACGTGGGGCCGGGGCTCGTGGAGGGCTGGGCCCGGGCTGTGCAGGTCTCGATGTGTGGCCGTGGTGAGTTCGCGGCGCTCTCTGAGCCTGCGAGTGCTACACTGTGGAGCCCTTCCTAGCCGGGATTTTACCTGTGGTCTTGCCAGCCCATGCTGCCTCCGCCGCCTCGCTCCTCTCCGTGGCGCGCCTATGACCTCTCTGTCCCCTCCCTGACTTATCTGCAGTTTATTTCCTGGGGGACAGGGAGGGCCCCTGCTGGGAGGGGGCTGGCTGAACTGGCCCAGGGCCAGAGGAGGGAGGGCCCACGAAGGAGATGCCTACAGACTCCCAGGCCCCCTTCCCTATAGCTTCCCAAAATCTCCTCCCCTGCCCTTTTCCTTCAACTGAACTATCCTGAGAATCTTGGAACGTAGATCTCAAAGTCTAACGACAAACCACCAATAGGGGCCCTAAGAGGGACAGGGACCCACCAGGGTGACACAGCAAAGCAACCTGTTCTGTTCACCACTCACCCTCACCTGCAATCCGTTTGAAATACCTATATTTTACATGTGGGATTGGAAGAAAATATGTCATTTTGCCAGAAACATCTGCCACTTATCCAGCTTTTACTATTCTGTCACTCCCAGTGCCAAGTGTGAAACTTACGTTAACCTGCCTAATGCTCGGGCAACCCAGAGGGAAGTTGATAACATCCTATTGAACAGATGAGGACACGGAGGCTCAGAGAGGTACAGTGCCTGCCCACAAATAGGGAGGCCTGCCTTTAAACAATGGTCTGCCTGAACTCTCATTCTCTTGCTGTGGGCCTGGGTTTATGTCCAGGATTTTAGCTCTTCTCTCTGTTTCTGCCACTGTCTTCAAATTGAAACTCCAGGTATCTGTGAACCCAACCCAAAGCAAGCCTGCCTGCCTGCCTGCCTGCCTGCCTGCCTGCCTTCCTGCCTTCCTCTCTCTTTCTTTTCTTTCCTCTCTCTCTTTCTCTCCTCTCTCTCTCTCTTTCTCTCTTTCTTTCTTTTTTGGCAGGCTCTTGCTCTGCTGCTCAGGCTGTAGTGCAGCGGCATAAATATGGCTCACTGCAGCCTCAACATCCTAGGCTCAACCATCCTCCAGCTTCAGCCTCTTGTGAGGCTGGGACCACAGGTGTGTACCAGCACACCCAGCTAATTTTTGTATTTTTTTTTTCATGTAGAGACTGTGTGTGTGTGTGTGTGTGTGTGTGTGTGTGTGTGTGTGTGATTTTGTTGCCTGGGCTGGTCCTGAACTTCTGAACTCAAGTGATCCTCTCACCTTGGCCTCTGAAAATTCTGGGATTACAGGCGTGAACCACCATGTCCAGCCTCTTTACTTTCATACAAAATTAAAGCTGGAAGCAGCTATAATTTGGGAAGGTGAGGCAGAGGATTGCTTGAATCCAGATTCGAGGTTACAGTGAGCCATGATTGTGCCACTGCACTCCAACCTGGGTGACGGAGCAAGGCTCTGTATCTAAAAGAAGACAACAAAAAATTAACAAAAATAGACAAAAGATTATCATATGGTGTATTACACCTGGTATATTGTATAGTCTAGTGTAGCATATTGGATATATAATCTTTTTTTTTTTTTTTTTTTTTTTTTTGAGACGGAGTTTCGCTCTTGTTACCCAGGCTGGAGTGCAATGGCGCGATCTCGGCTCACCGCAACCTCCGCCTCCTGGGTTCAGGCAATTCTCCTGCCTCAGCCTCCTGAGTAGCTGGGATTACAGGCACGAGCCACCATGCCCAGCTAATTTTTTGTATTTTTAGTAGAGACGGGGTTTCACCATGTCGACCAGGATGGTCTCGAACTCTCGACCTCGTGATCCACCCACCTCGGCCTCCCAAAGTGCTGGGATTACAGGCTTGAGCCACCGCGCCCGGCCGGATATATAATCTTATCTACACTTACAATATTGATAAATATTACCATTACATAAATATTACACTACAACCTCTGCCTCCCAGGTTCAAGCGATTCTCCTGCCTCAGGCTCCCAAGTAGCTGGGATTACAGAAACCCACCATCATGCCCAGCTAATTTTTGTATTTTTAGTAGAGACGGGGTGTCACCATGTTGGACAGGCTGGTCTCGAACTTCTGACCTTAAGTGATCTGCCCACCTCTGCCTCCCAAAGTGTTGGGATTACAGGGTGAGCCACTGCACCCAGCAGAGGGGGAGCATTTAAAACTTCCACTTTACAATGGGGAATCTGAGATGCTGAAAGGTGAAGTCCTTGCCTAAGAAGCCCCAAAGCCAACAACTAGCAGAGCTGGGACTCGAATCTGGGCCATGAGTTTCCAGTTTTCAGGCTTTTCTCTCATCCCCTCCTTGGGATCCATCCGACAGAAGCAGAACCTCTAGAAGGGGAGCCCCAGGCAAGAGACCTGCAGCCCCACCCCCCAGGGTGAGGAGCTATTTTCCTGTCTGGAAGCAGAAGGAAAATAAAGTCCACAGTTCAGCAGGGTGGGAGGCACCGGAGAGGGCAGAAGTGGGGGAGATATTGCCCTGTCCCGTCCCCTCCCGCCTGGCTCGTGGGGGCAGGGGCCTCAGTCCTGCCTGCCTGAGAGGACATTCCGTCCTGTTCTGTTCCAGCCCTGTTTGTCTTCCTGCCCAGAGGGTGGGGGCGAGAGGGCCTCACTGAGCTGGGGGCCCGACAGAGGGAACAGGGAGCGGGAATCGGCAGGGAGGTGGGGCCCGTGCCTCACCTCCCAGACAGCTGGGCTCTGTAATCCTCTCTGTGGCTGGGCTGCTTCTTCCATAGAAGGAGCCAGCTGGTGGCTGCGGAGGGACCCTCCTTCCAGCTCCCAGCCTGCCCTCTGGATGTTCTACTGGGAAGTGTGGTGGCTAGTTCCTCTGGCTCAGGGTTCCAATCCCGACTCCACTACTTATAAGCTGTGTGACTTTGGACAAGTGGCACAGCCTCCCTGAGCATAGAAACAGCACCTAGCTCATAGGGTTGTTTTGCAGATTAAATGAGTTCATATATATGTCAAGGGCTTAGGAAACAGGGCCTGACAAATAGTGTTATACAAAGGTTAAACTTTTTTTTAATTTTGGAAATGGAATCTGTTGCCCAGGCTGGAGTGCAGTGGTTCGATCTTGGCTCACTGTCACCTCCGCCTGCCGGATTCAAGTGATTCTCCTGCCTCAGCCTCCTGAGTAGCTGAGAGTACAGGCACCTGCCACCATGCCTGGATAATTTTTGTAGTTTTAGTAAAAACAGGGGTTTCACTATCTTGGCCAGGCTGGTCTCGAACTCCTGACCTCAGGTGATCTGCCTGCCTTGGACTCCTAAAGTGTTGGGATTATAGGCATTAGCCACCGCGCCTGGCCCAGGTTAAACTTATTATTCTCCCTTTGCGCATGTGAGAGATGAAAAGCAAAGGCTTAGGAGCCTCTTGGGCTTTAGAGTAACCTGTGGGTTACTCTACACGCCCCATGGTGTGGTGTGTGCATGTTATTATGTACATGGTTTTTACACAAGCATCTTAAAAGCTTAAAAGGAGGACTAAATAACAGTGCAATAATGAGACCATTGGTATGCTGAACACTCACGGAGCTGGAGACACCATTAAGTCCTTACTACAGCCCCACTGAGCAGCAGAAGTGATCTTCCCCGCTTTTTTTTTTTTTCTTTTAGACCGTGTCTTGCTCTGTCGCCCAGGCTGGAGTGCAGTGGCTTAATCTCAGCTCACTGCAACCTCTGCTTCCCTGGTTCAAGCAATTCTCCTGCCTCAGTCTTCTGAGTAGATGGGACTATAGGCACCCATGACCATGCCCGGCTAATTTTTTTTTTTTTTTTTTTTTTTTGTATTTTTAGTAGAGACGAGACAGGGTTTCACCATGTTAGCCAGGATGGTCTCGATCTGACCTCATGATCCACCCCCCTCAGCCTCCCAAAGTGCGGGGATTATAGGCATGAGCCACGGCGCCCGGCCTGATCTCCTCTTTTATAGAGACAGAAACAGAGAGTCAGAGCATTGGCATCCTCAGCCTGAGTAACCCAGCGCCCTCCATCAACAATGAACCACGCTGAACCACTTCTCAGTTAATCCGACCATGTTCCTGCAATTATTTTTCCTGTGTACCCCATGAAGAAGCAGGCCCAAGGAGGTGATGAAACTTGCCTGAGGCCACACAGCTTTTAGTAGCAGAGCCAGGATTCAAGCCAGGTCTGTCTACTCTTGACTCAAACTCCATTTACGGCACACCTATTGGGTGTCACGACCCCCACTGTCTGCTTCCTCACTACTGGCTCCTCATCTCGATCTGGGGTGATGAAAAGGGGGTGTGATCCCCACTTTCCTTTTTTTTCTCTCTTTTCTTTGAGACAAGGTCTGGCTCTATTGCCCAGGCTGGAGTGCAGTGGCCTGATCTTAGCTCACTACAACCTCTGCCTCCCAGGCTCAAGCCATCCTCCCACCTCAGCTGCCAGAGTAGCTGGGACTGTAGACACTCACCACCACGCAATGTGTATATTTCTAGTATAGATGAGACTTTGTCATGTTGCCCAGGCCGGTCTTGAACTCATGAAATCCACCCACCTCAGCCTCCCAACGTGCTGGAATAACAGGCCTGAGCCACCGCGCCTGGCCACCCCATATTTCCAGGATCTGAAACTGAGGCTCAGAGCAGCAGTCACTGACACAAGTCCACACCACCAGGCAGTTGGTGAGATGGGATTTGAACCCCGGCTTTAGGGCCTGTGCTCTTGGCAGGTGTGCCCGATACCCAAGGGGCCCCTGCCTTGCCCTTCTTTTGCCTAGCAGACTCAGTCCCTTCCCCCCTCACACCCCTGCTGCCTCCAGATCTCCCCAGCTGGCCCCATGCCCAGCCCTGGTCCAGCCCCCTGGCACTCTGCCCAGCTTGGGACGTGCAGCTGGAACCCTGCCACCCTTCCTCCATGTTCCAGCCGAGAACAGGGGTGGGGCCAGGGCTTGGCGGCCAGAGGGTGAGGCCTGAGAATGGGGGTTGAGGCCCAGTGCCCCCCTCCAACCAGGAAGGAGAGAAGCTCACCTCTTTCCTGCCCTGAAGAAGCTGCCACCCATGAGAAAGGCACAGTAAAATTAGGGAGTCCCTGACCCACATTCAGGGTTACTTCTGGGCCTTTCTCTTCTGACACTCAGCTGGGTATTGGCAGGGGGGTCCTACAGAAAGCACAGAGGATTTGGTGGGTGGGGCTTAGGTTGTAGCTGGGCAAGGATGCCCCTTGGTACTGTCCAGAGATGTCCTGAGAGACCAGAGTCAGGGTTTGGGTTTGTGAAGAGATTTGGCATGGGGGTCTGGGGGAGTCTCTCTGGCGCCTGACTCTGCTCGTTCCCAAGGACATGGTAATCTGGTGGGGTGCTGGTCCCCCAAATCCTAACTCCTCCGGGAACTGTGTTCATCACTGGGCACTCTAGGCTGCAAGCTGCACCCACCAGGGACTTCCCAAGAGCATCCTTGCCCACAGTGGGATGGCAGCCAGGCCCAGCTAGAGGAAGGGAAAGGGGAAAGGGGGTGTGGGGGCCCACTCACCATCGCCCAGGCCCCCTTTGGCTGATGGGCCATCCAGGGGGTGCAGGAGGGGACGCAGTGCAGCCAGGACCCGGGTGCGAGTTACGAGTGGGTGGCGCGTGGCAGTGAGATGACTCTACAGGAAAGGGCTGGCCTTGGGTGGGGAGGGGGGGCACCCCAGCTCAGCCAAGAGGGGCCCCCACCCAGCCAGGAGGGGGTGCTGAGAGGGGCGGGACGGCGGGTGGCCCAAAAGGAGTGGGATGGAGTTCCCTGGTAGGCCCAGAGCCAGGGCCTGGAATAGAATGGGGGAAGGGGGAGAGGATGGGGGGTAAGAAACATGGGGTGTGCACGGATCCAATCATGCCTGAGAAGCCAGGGAGGAGGGAAGGGGGTGAGGCTTACTGGGTGCCTCACATCGGACAGGGAAAGCTGAGGACCTAGAGCATTTTCCACAGTCCCATGAGAATATGGCCAGATGACCTGGGCAGTGGCCCCAGGGCACAGGTTCCTCTGTGTTCCAGCAGAGCTGCACCTGCTGGGAGGTGAACCCAGAAACCCATCCTCTGCCTGGGATGGCCCCAGCTGAGCACTGCGGCAGGGGCGCTCCCACCACGGCCGCAGGCTCAGAGCACCCCACCATGGAGTCTCCCCCAGATAAAACTTGGATGGGGCTCCCCTGTCCCTCAAGATGGGGCTGGAAGGGTGAGATGAGGGGCCAGACTTGAGAAAGTGAGTCCAGCTTGTTTCCCTGTTATTTAAGGAGTTAACTCTGCCTTTTAAAAGAATACAAAAAGGCTCCTGGGAAGGGTCCCAGACGGATTCTGAAAGGGGCTCCCCGCTGCCCATTTCTAGGGAATCCCACGGTTTGGGACACTGTCACGAAGGGTACGATCAGAGGAGATCTCTCCTCTCTTGAACTCAGGAGCTAAATGCCATACGTGAGAAGGCTCAATTTAGGGGTAGCCCATATCTCCTAGGATCCCAGGGACCTGGTGGCAAAGAACATCCTCAATTTGGGGGGTTCAGAGGCTAAGAGGGACCAATATGTGGAGAGAGAATATCTGACGCAGAAGCCCGGGTACTGCTCAAATGCAATCACTCCTAATTTCTCAGAAATCCCAAGTTCCACCCGCAACCAGGTGGGGAAGCGAGCCTTGGGTAGCAGGAAATCAGGGACCCCGAAGCCGCCCTTGGTCAGAGGGGCGGGGCAGCCAGGGTCGTAGGGAATCTCCCACCCCTGCAGTCCCCGACGGTGGAGAGTGCGGCGGGGATGTGCCTTCAACTGCGCGCCCCGGAGCTTCCTTGGCTTGCACCCGCGAACCCCCCCAGTCCAGTTCAGGGGTCTCCAGGAGGGGAGCCCCCCCAATTCCCAGAACTCCTGCCCCCGAACCTCAGTACCTTGCGCGCTGCAGCCCCAGCGCCATGGCTCGCCAGTCGCCGCTCCGGAGCCCTCGGAGGCCCCTAGCCCCCTCCCCTAGCCTTGCGAGCCCCCTCCCCAGCTCCTCCCCGCGCCGCGCGGTTGGCTGCGCCGCGCCAGGCCTGCGGTTCTGATTGGACAAAGGGCACGTCATTCCTGAAAAGGAGGCGGAACCAGAGGAAAAGACTTGGAAAGGCAAGAGGAGTTGGTGGGGGGGAATACCATGTAATACACACACCCAACCACGCCTCTTGCCGCGGACTTCCTCGGCCTTGTAGCTTGCACCGTCTGCTGGCCGCGTCTTCTCTGGGCAAGCCTCTGAAGTGCCAACGCCAGTACTCTTCTGAACGCCCCCCAGTTCACTCTGCCCTCTGCACCCCAGTCCCCAGCCTCTAACTCCCACCTCCTCCCACCCTTCCATTTCCTAACCTCAGGTGGGCCTCTCCGACCTCCAATCCCACACCTTCCAACCCCCAGCCCCACCTCCTCTAGCCCTTCTAATCTATCCACAGAGCATCCCGCTTACCCTCCCCACCCCCCAACTCCTAATCCCACCCCGGGCCCTCTGGCACCTACCTTTCCCTCTCACTCCCTAGCCCCTCCCTGCCCCACCTCGCCCCCATTCCCCCAGTCTGTGCCCCCTGCACCGCAGCTTATCTTCCCCACCCCCTCTACTCCACCCTAACCTCTTGGCCTCTCTGGCTCCCTTTTCAGGTTCCCACTGATAAATAATTAAGCTTAAGTCAAGTAAATATGTTTTAACTCAGTCACACTCACTTTAAAAAAGAGCAGAGAAATAGTTTTTTTGTTTTTGTTTTTTAAACTAGTCAAGGATGAAGGAAGAGGTATACAAAGTTACCAAGCGATGGTGAAAAAGCATTACAGTTGGATAAGGAACAATGTGTGTGGGTGTGTGAGTTCGATAACTCGCTATTCTGGATTTGGTTGGCAGGGAAGAAGAAGATACGATAGCAGAAGTGGCCTTGTTGAACCTCGAACTTCGCAAGCAAGTTGCTCACCTTAGGGCCTTTGTATTTGCCATTCCCACAGCTTAGAACACTCTTCCCCCAGGAATCCGCAAGGCTCCCCAGTTCACCCCAGTGCCCCACAATGTTTTCTTTTCGGAAACTACTTCTCTCTCCTCTTCATCTGTTTAATTTGAGTAGGGCTCGGCCACGGCCCTGCCTTCACCAGCTCCAGGGACGGACTTAAGATCCAGAACTGGCTAATCAATTGAATCTGCTTCCCTGGCCACAGTGATTGGTTCAGGGAAGGCATCTAATTGAGCCCAATGAGAATCAGCCCTGAGACATTTTCTGCAACAAACAGAAAATTTTCTGCTGGAATTGCCAGGCAGATGGAACTGCCACAAAGAGAGGAGAGGCTTTGTGAAATGAGTTTCAGTGCAAAAGAGATTGTGCAGAAACGAACGATTGTGAAAGGCAGTTTTGACACCAGCACTTGAGTGCCGGGATTTGGCCATACTCGAACTCCAGTTTAATTCTCAGACTTTCAAATGAATCCCACGATGGGCGTTTTTTTTGTTTTGTTTTGTTTTCTTTTCTTTTGCTGTTACTTTTGTTAAATATTGCTTCATTCTCTATTGCCTTATTTGCTTTGTGTGTAGATTAGTTTGAATGGATTTCAGATACTTGCACCCACAATAATCTTGATATATAGAGAAATTACCTCTCAAGCCTCAATGTGAAGGCACATGGGATGTGAGAAAAGGAGCAGTCTGAATCACAGAAGGGGCCAAGCACGGTGGCTCATGCCTGTAATCCCAGCACTTTGGGAGTCCAAGGTGGACGGATCACCTGAGGTCAGGAGTTTGAGACTAAAATGGCCAACATGGTGGAACCCCATCTCTACTAAAAATACAAAAATTAGCCAGGCATGGTGGTGGACGCCTGTAATCCCAGCTGAGGCAGGAGAATTGCTTGAAACCGGGAGGCAGACGTTACAGTGAGCTGAGATCGTGCCATTGCACTCCAGCCTGAGTGACAGAGTGAGACTTTGTCTCTAAATAAATAAATACTAGAAGGAGCTGCAGAGGAAGCAGCATCATTAGAGCTTGTCAGTGTTTAGGGAAGGACATGGAGTAGAAGAAATGTTCAAGGGAGAAACTGAGGAAGGGGCGTGGTTGTTAACAAGCTGAGAAGCATTCCAGTGGGCGTACTGGAAGGGTTTGGAGAGGGCAGGATGGTAGATTCAGTGGAACAGAAGAACTCACTGATTTTGGCATGAGGGAGTCGTAGTAGAGAGCCAATCAGTGGGATTTACAGTGCCCAAGAAAAGCTGGCACTAGTTCAACAAACATTAAAATAGAACTAACATTTTCTATATAGAGATGCAACAGGTGTCTCTCCATGATCTGGGTTAGCATTTAACTTGGCTCGGAGGTTCCCAGCAGCTAAGGCAATAAGGGAAATGTGTCCATTAAAATGGTTTCCAATTTTTGCTAAAGGATGTGTTCTTGTTTGTCTGGAGAGACAGGTTTTGTACCTGGAACTGAAGTTAAGGGGGAATTTAAGACCTTTTAATATTAAAATGTAGAGCAGTCTGAGCTGCCAGGAACTGTGGGAGCTTGGTTGAGGCGCCTCACCCACCCTGTGGGGGTTGTCAGAAAGGTTTCTTTTTTTTTTTCTTTTTTTGAGACAGAGTTTTGCTCTTGTTACCCAGGCTGGAGTGCAATGGCACAATCTCGGCTCACTGCAACCTCCATTTCCTGGGTTCAGGCAATTCTCCTGCCTCAGCCTCCCGAGCAGCTGAGATTACAGGCACGCGCCACCATGCCCAGCTGATTTTTTGTATTTTTAGTAGAGACGGGGTTTCACCATGTTGACCAGGATGGTCTTGATCTCTTGACCTCGTGATCCACCCGCCTCGGCCTCCCAAAGTGCTGGGATTACAGGCGTGACCCACCGTGCCCGGCTCCAGAAAGGTTTCTTGAGGAAGGGACATTTGGATGCAGACTTGAGGAGGCAAGCAGAGAGAGGGTTGGGGAGAGCCAAGTGCAGGGGCTCACACCTGCAAACCCAATGACTCAGGAGGCTGAGAGGGGAGGATCGTTTGAGGCCAGCAGTTTGAGAACAGCCAGGGCAACATAGCAAGATCCCATCTCTTTTTATTTTATCTATTTATGCATTTATTTTTTAAGACAGAGTCTCACTCTTGTTCCCTAGGCTGGAGTGCAATGGCGCAATCTCGGTTCATTGCAACCTCCGCCTTCCAGGTTTAAGCGATTCTCCTTCCTCAACCACCTGAGTAGCTAGGATTACAGGTGTCTGCCACCATGCCTGCTAATTGTTGTATTTTTAGAAGAGATAGGGTTTCACCACGTTGGCCAGGCTGGTCTCAAAGTTCAGTCCTCAGGTGATCCACCTGTCTCAGCCAGTCTCCCAAAGTGCTGGGATTACAGGCATGAGCCACTGTGCCTGGACTCCATCTCTTAATTTTTTTTTTTTTAAACTTTGCCAGGCATGGTAATGTCTGCCTATAGTCCCAGTTACTTGGGAGGCTGAGAAGGGAGGATTGCTTGAGTCTGGGAGCTCGAGACTATAGTGAGATATGATTGTGCTATTGCACTCCAGTCTGGGCAACAAGATGAGACCCATCTCTAAAATAAATAAATATGTGAATGAGAGGGCTGGGGGGAAAGTATTGTAGGCAAAGGGAAGATAATACAACAGTTTGCAGGCAAGAGAGCTTGGTGCACTGAGGGAACTGACAAGTAGACTGTGGTTGCAGCCTGGAGTATAATGAGGGGAGATGGGAGGTGATGGTGGAAGGGTGCATGGGGGTGAGATCAAACCAAGTCTGAAAGCCATTAAAGAATCTCGAGGCTGGGTGGGGTGGCTCATGCCTGTAATCCCAGCACTTCAGGAGGCCAAGGCAGGTGCATCATGAGGTCAGGAGATCAAGATCATCCTGGCTAACACAGTGAAACTTCGTCTTTACTAAAAATACAAAAAATTAGCTGGGCATGGTGGTGTGCACCTCTAGTTCCAGCTACTCTGGAGGCTGAGGCAGGAGAATTGCTTGAACCCAGGAGGCAGAGGTTGCAGTGAGCCGAGATTTCACCACTGCACTCCAGCCTGGGCAACAAAGTGAGACTCTATTTCAAAAAAAAAAAAAAAAAAAGAATCTCAGGCATTTCCTAGGGAGCACTGGGGAGCCATGGCAGAGTTTTGAGCAGGACAGAACACAACATGTGCCTTATAAAGATTCCTCTGGGAGCTGGTTGTGGTAGTTTTGTGGTAGTTCACACCTGTAATCCCAGCTTTGGGAGGCCAAGGCAGGAGGATCGCTTGAGGCCAGGAGTTTGAGACAAGCCTGAGCAACATAGTGAGAGCCCATCTCTTTTTTTTTTTTTCTTTTGAGACGGAGTTTCGCTCTTGTTACCCAGGTTGGAGTGCAATGGCACGATCTCGGCTCACCGCAACCTCCGCCTCCTGGGTTCAGGCAATTCTCATGCCTCAGCCTCCTGAGTAGCTGGGATTACAGGCACGCACCACCGTGCCTGTAATCCCAGTAATAATTTTTTAGTATTTACTAAAAAATTATTTTTTGTATTTTTAGTAGAGATGGGGTTTCACCATGTTGACCGGATGGTCCCGATCTCTTGACCTCATGATCCACCCGCCTCGGCCTCCCAAAGTGCTGGGATTACAGGCGTGAGCCACTGCGCCCAGCAAGAGAGCCCATCTCTTAAGAAAATTTAAAAATTGGCCGGGCGCGGTGGCTCACGCCTGTAATCCCAACACTTTGGGAGGCCAAGGCAGGCAAATCACCTGAGGTCAGGAGTTTGAGGCCAGGATGACTAACATGGTGAAACCCCGTTTCTACTAAAAATACAAAAAATTAGCCAGGCATGGTGGTGCACATCTGTCATCCCAGCTACTCGGGAGGCTGAGGCAGGAGAATCACTTGAACCTGGGAGGCAGAGGTTGCAGTGAGTCGAGAT